CCTCTATAAAGTGGCCAGTCCAGGTAAACCCCTGAAAAAACAGAATCTATGTTGGACTGGCCACTTTATACCCCCTCCCCCAACAGAGAATGCCCCTATAAAGTGGCCAGTCCAGGTAAAACCCCTGAAAAAAACAGAATCTATGTTGGACTGGCCACTTTATACCCCCTCCCCCAACAGAGAATGCCTCTATAAAGTGCCCAGTCCAGGTAAAACCCCTGAAAAAACACATTTTTACCTGGAATGGCCACTTTATACCCCCTCCCCCAACAGAGAATGCCTCTATAAAGTGGCCAGTCCAGGTAAAACCCCTGAAAAAACACATTTTAACCTGGAATGGCCACTTTATACCCCCTCCCCCAACAGAGAATGCCTCTATAAAGTGGCCAGTCCAGGTAAAACCCTTGAAAAAACACATTTTAACCTGGAATGGCCACTTTATACCCCAGCCAGTGGGCTCCAGGACTTTGACCCGGAAACGGAAGGACTGACAACAAGGTAAAGGGGGAAAACTACAACGGAGAGGTACAACGGGAAGGCTACCACAAGAAAATGAGACATGTCACGTTTATATACGTTTATTGTTTTCAATGTGTCATATAGATTGGCGATGATTGGTATATTGAATATGTTGTAGATGTATTTTGGCACATATGTATTATACCTATGATTCACACATCAATATAAATATATATAAATCATAAACACATGCCAAACCAAAAACTTTTAGCTGAGTATTGTATTCCCAATCTGTTGGCAAATGTCCAGCCGATTCACCATGCGTGACCCAACAAGATTCAAACTATGGATTGTATATCTGCCAACAGATTGGGAATACAATACTCAGCTAAAAGTTTTTGGTTTGGCATGTGTTTATGATTTATATATATTTATATTGATGTGTGAATCATAGGTATACATATGTTCCAAAATACATCTACAACATATTCAATATACCAATCATCGCCAATCTATATGACACATTGAAAACAATAAACGTATATAAACGTGACATGTCTCATTTTCTTGTGGTGGCCTTCCCGTTGTACCTCTCCGTTGTAGTTTTCCCCCTTTACCTTGTTGTCAGTCCTTCCGTTTCCGGGTCAAAGTCCTGGAGCCAACTGGCTGGGGTATAAAGTGGCCATTCCAGGTAAAAATGTGTTTTTTCAGGGGTTTTACCTGGACTGGCCACTTTATAGAGGCATTCTCTGTTGGGGGAGGGGGTATAAAGTGGCCAGTCCAACATAGATTCTGTTTTTTCAGGGTTTTACCTCGGCTGGCTACTTTATAGAGGCATTCTCTGTTGGGGGAGGGGGTATAAAGTGGCCAGTCCAACATAGATTCTGTTTTTTCAGGTGTTTTACTTGGACTGGCCACTTTATAGAGGCATTCTCTGTTGTGGGAGGGGGTATAAATGGCCACTCCAACATAGATTCTGTTTTTTCAGGTTTTACATGGACTGGCCACTTTATAGAGGCATTCTCTGTTGGGGGAGGTGGTATAAAGTGGCCAGTCCAACATAGATTCTGTTTTTTTCAGTGGTTTTACCTGGACTGGCCACTTTATAGAGGCATTCTCTGTTGGGGGAGGGGGTATAAAGTGGCCAGTCCAACATAGATTCTGTTTTTTCAGGGTTTTACCTGGACTGGCCACTTTTATAGAGGCATTCTCTATTGGGGGGGGGGGTATAAAGTGGCCAGTCCAACATAGATTCTGTTTTTTCAGGGTTTTACCTGGACTGGCCACTTTATATAGGCATTCTCTGTTGGGGGAGGGGGTATAAAGTGGCCAGTCCAACATAGATTCTGTTTTTTCAGGGGTTTACCTGGACTGGCCCACTTATAGGCGGCATTCTCTGTTGCGTTGGGGGAGGGGGTATTGGGTATGAAGTGGCCAGTCCAACATAGATTTGTTTTTTCAGGGTTTTTAACCTAGGACTGGCCACTTTATAGAGGCATTCTCTGTTGGGGGAGGGGGTATAAAGTGGCCAGTCCAACATAGATTCTGTTTTTTCAGTGGTTTTACCTGGACTGGCCACTTTATAGAGGCATTCTCTGTTGGGGGAGGGGGTATAAAGTGGCCAGTCCAACATAGATTCTGTTTTTTCAGGGGTTTTACCTGGACTGGCCACTTTATAGAGGCATTCTCTGTTTGGGGAGGGGGTATAAAGTGGCCAGTCCAACATAGATTCTGTTTTTTCAGGGGTTTTACCTGGACTGGCCACTTTATAGAGAAGAAGATTTCCCTTGAAAGGGGTCCTCAGGGTGAATGGGGTCCTGGGCAGCTCTATAAAGTGATTTGGGTGATGTATCTCATGACTCTATAAAATGCTCTGCCGCAATTTTCTTTCTATAAAGTGCCCTGGATGCAGCACAAATTTTCTTCTTAAAGGGCAAGTTTCACTCTATAAAGTGCTTTGCCATGTATACAGCCCCAACAGAAAGATATTGGCCCGAAATCATTGGGGAGACATGTTTCTATAAAGTGGATGGTGTGACATATTATGGCCATTCTTTGAAGGGAACCAACGGTCTATAAAATGCATTGCCGCATATATTGAGTCGTTTCCTTGTGGGGAACCAGCCGGGTATAAACTGGAAAGCCAATGTTGCTATAAAGTCATCTTCCAGGTCCAAGGGCATGTTTCTCGCGCAAAACACGGCTTTATCCCCCATTGTCGGTATATAAAGTGGCGACCGGAAACCCACTTTATAAGCGCAAAGGATGTCCACTTTATAGTGAACTATACATGGGGGATCCCAGCATGATAGTGTTGGGTTGAGTATTGGATCTATTTGTTTTGGCATCCCTTGGGTGGTCAGAATTAGTGTGGCAACCCCCATCATATGCCATTGCTAATGGGATGATGTTTATTATGACTTGAGCCATGGAAAGATACTGAGATGGTTCATGAAAGGTTTTTCTTCATTAACATTGAGACCAGAATCAAAGGGACTAAGAAACACCAGCCAGGTACAGCATTGCACAAAACTAATTGCGCGGTGTGTTCGAATGTTTTATTCGGGCGAGACTTGCCGCGATCGCGCGGTAGTCTGGATGTGCTTGAAAAGTGATTGGTCAAAGACGTCTTGGACCAGATCCTCGCAGGTCGCAGCAAAACACATCAAATTCTGTGCTGAGATCTGTGCATTGCATCAGCACTGGCCATTGTCTTCCCAATGAAACGCGATAGAGATATGACAAACAACAAATTATCATTCAATACATGTTAGCATATGTTAGCATATGTTTTCAAAGCATTCACTTGGGCGCCGTAAAAATATGTAAAACATATATTAAAAATAAGACCTAAACATACGAAACAAACACAGCACACGGCCAGGCAATACCCACCTTCCAATGCCAAATGCAGTTTTTGAGACAAACAGTACCTGGAAGCCTTCCGTGCCAGTCCTCTGAATCCACGGGCACAGGGTTTTTACCCTTCAACACATTCCTTGGATTTGCAAAACAGGGTGCAAATTCAAAAAACAAGTTGTAGTGGAATCACAGTATAACCCCTTTTTCTGGTTGAATCACATGGATTACTGTAAATAATGGGAACACCCCCTTTCTGGTGGATTCATATGGATCAGTTGTGTTTTCCCAGTTGATTCCCCTTTTCTCATGGAAAAAAACAAATGGGAAAACGAGAGAAATCCGAGCAAATCCCAGATTCAGCACCTCCTCAAACAAGACCCCCACTTTGGTTTCCATCCGCCATACGTCCAGGGCTTTAGCTGTGCCCCGGAGACGAGCGGCTCCCTCGATGAATTCCTGTCCAAAGAACATCATACCCTCTGGTGATGTGGAAAATCGATGATCATCTAAATTACCCAATGGAAAACTACCACCCTTTTATAGCCATATATCTATATATAGTGTTAGTAGACATCACCGCTTGCATTGAATTATGACAGCAAATTAAAGTGTAAAACATATCAAACCCTAACAGTTCTACAAGTGCATCATCCAGAAAATCTCTAGAGGTAATCATCCAAAGAACATGAACATTTTTTGAGTAAAACATATAAAATTATATAGATGAACAATTTTCGATAGTTATCTTGAATTATTCGAAGGTATATAACCACGAGAATTTGATGGCCCAAGAAATTGGAAACCAAACGAAACAACACAAAACGATTTTGCTTTCAGTTTGGTACCGTGCATTTGCAAATTCAACGTGACAGAAACCTTTAGAGCACGGATGTTCATAGTCGTAAAACTAATGTTTCTGCTTTTCTCAACTCTGAATGTCGCCCAGCCCCACAAAGTCGTGCCACATTCAGAAGTGAAAAGGAGATGACAAAAGGCATGTGCGATGACCTTTGTTTGACACATTTAGTATGATTTACTGCCACATACTAGTCTGACATCTGTGTTGACATCGTATGTGCTGAGGAACTATCTAACAAACGTTCTAAGACTGATACTATCTTGTGTGACATATTCACTAGCATTCACTAGGCATAGTGGTCTGATCCGACACACATTTCCTGATTGTACTGCAAGAAAAATCTGACGTTGCAAACAGTGATTTGTACTGACATATACAATCTGACGCCACCTTGACATTTTATCTGACAAATGTATTTCCACAACCTGACAAGTATATTGTTGTGAGGTCGAACCCGAAAAAAAGGCGCAGGGCTAGTTGGGTCCAACGAAGGTCCAACAGAACGACACAGAGAAGCGGGGATTCATTCCCAATAGTTCTGGCTAAGTTGTTTCTATCTGAACGTCAAAAAAAAAATCCAGATCTTGCAAAAAATAACCCAATCCGGCCAATGTACTTTTCGAGTCTTTTCGGAAATACACAGGCGTTTGTTTTTTTTTGCGTAAACAAATCAAACAATCTCAAAATGTTGTTTTCTGTTCTGGTCTGCTGCAATTTTTTAATATGTATTTTTCCTAGACATCATTTTTTTTAAATGATATGTTCCTCTATTGTCACCTTCATATGAATGGGGCATTTCATTCAAATCTTCAGGCATTCAATTGAAATACAGTGGTTTCTAATACAAATGCCAATTCAAACGTATTTTCGGTTTTTGCTCCTCTTGCACTTAACAAACTATATGTGAAAGTCCAACTCAAAAACTTCATTTGTGCACTAAGAGACACTTTAAGAGACAGACTCCGTTTGGATTTAATTTAAAGAGAGGTTCATGTCAATTTAAACCGACATATATGTGTTTCACCAAATCATTTTCGAACATTTCAAAGAAATAATCCCTTCCCCCTATTACTAAACGTCCCCCAAATACTAAAAACTAGGATCCATCTCTAATTTCGGAAAATTTCAGATTGGCCAATTTGACTTTTAATTGCTCTCCTTTAGAAAACAATTTAAAAATAAAGCTAGCATTTGTGTGTGTTTCGCCCCCTAATGATAAAAACTAGTCAACCCCGGGGTGTTTATTATTAGGGCCCGTCCGAAAATTCTTAATTTTTTATATTAGGGTTTTAACTTATTATTAGGGCCCGCTTCGCAATCCAATTTTGGGCAATATATTAATTGCGTTGTAAAAGGAAATTTAACTGAATTTGAAATCGAACAAATTAGTTTTTATTATTAAGGTTTTAATTTAATTAATAGGGTCCGCTTCGAAATCCATTGTTTGGCAATATTTTTTTCATTGCGTTATATAAGGAAATTTTATTGATGTTGACATCGGAAAAAATATTCTTAAGGTTTTGATTTTATTCATAGGGCCCGCTTCGAAATCCAATTTTTGGCAATTTTTTTATTGCGCTATATACGGAAATTTAACTGATTTTGAAATCGAACACTCTAGTTTTTATTATTAAGGTTTTAATTTTATTAATAGGGCCCGCTTCAAAATCCAATTTTTGGCAATATTTGAATTGCGTTATATAAGGAAAATTAACTGATTTTGAAATCGAACAAACTAGTTTTTATTATTAAGGTTTTCATTTAATTAATAGGGCTCCTTAATAATAAATACAACCTAATAATAAAAACTACTTGAGGTGTTTATTAATAGGGGGGGGCTTAGTATTAGGGGGAAAGGACTAATAGTTTGCTTTCAGTTTGTTTAAATTAATAAACAACATTATTTTCAGATTGATTGAAAAAGAACATGCTAGACATTCAAGAATTCACAAAATTCACTTCAGAGACTCAATTCAACCATTCACTTGAGGGACACATATCCTATGGAACCCACAAATGAAACCAAACAAAACTAGACAAAACTATACAAAACTAAAATAAACACCCACTTTAGACCTACTCCTTCAACATGTTCAATAACAATGTTCTTTGGGCATGTTCAATCCCGAATGCTGCGCCATAGATCAACGGTCAATAGTTACTACATATCTCGCATTTTTTTGAAATCACAAATGTGACATGCAACAAAAAATACATGCAATTTTAGTCTGGTTAATTTTTTGGTCGCAACTATTTTTTAATGATGTTGGGTTGCGAAAGGGTTAAGGAGGTGTCCTTTTTGTGTGAAAAATTGTTGCCAAGCGAATGCACGAATGAGAAAGGAGTTATATCATGTTGCAAACATTGAACGGATAACCCCACATGCCAATTCGGCCCGCATGTACCATACTTGCGACGAAAAAAGAGAAGGAACGTTCCACCGCGTTATGTGTGCCATTTTTTGTTTGACGACGTGTCTGACAATGCCGTGTGTGACAATGTTGTGTGCGTGTGACATGTGTCAATGTTGTGCGTGTGACATGCGACAATGTTGTGTGTGTGACAGTGGTGTGGCAATGTGGTGTGGGACGACGTGGTGCGTGACATTACAACATGCTGTGTGTGACAGGAATGTGTGTGTGTGACAATGCTCTGTGTGTGTGACAATGTTTTGGGTGTGACAGTGCTGTGTGACACAACGCTGTGTGTGTGTGTGACAAGGTTGCGTGCACGACCGTGCTACGCGTGGCAAATTTGGTGTGTGAAAATGCTGTGCGTGTGTGACAATGCTGCGTGTGACAATTTGTGTGTGTGGCAACGTTGCGTATGTGGCAATGCTGTAAGTGACAAGGTTGCGTGTGTGATATGTCGGGTGTGACGATGTGGTGTATAGAGGGGAGAGGACCGGAAAGGATGGAAAAAGAACAATGGATAATGATCTTATTTCGAGTCATCCCCACCCTCACACACTATTCTGACATAGTTTCTGACATATCATCTGCAAGTAAATATGGCATATGTTGGCATATATGATATATGTATATGTTTCAAACATTCTATCTGACATTCTTTCTGGCATATACTCTGCCATTCTATCTGACATTATTTCTAGCATCCTCTGTGGCATTCTATCTGGCATCTATTTTGACATTCTTTCTGGCATCTCTTTTGACATTCTTTTTGGCATCTATTCTGCAATCTACCTGGCATCTTCTCAAGCATTCATTCTGACAACCTTCCTGGCATTCTATCGGGCATTTTTTCTGACATTCTATCTGGCGCTCTATCCGGCATCTATTCTGACATTCTTTCTGACATTCTACCTAGCAACTATTCCGACCTTGTATTCTGACATTCTTTCTGGCATTCTATGCTGACATTCTCTCTCTCTGGCATACATCTGAAATTCTATTCTGACACTCTTTCTGGCATTCTTTCTAACATGTTCTTTCTGGCATTCTACCTGGCATCTTCTCTGACATTCTATCTGGCATCTGTTCTGACATTCTTTCTGGCATTTTATTTGGCATCTCGTCTGGCATTCTTTCTGACATTCTGTCTGGCCTTCCCTCTGGCATGAGTTCGGGTCCAGGCAACCTCCACAGCATACTGCGCTGGCCACATGGAGTTCGGGTCGGGGCGCCCTGCACTGCATACTGCAACCGTGAAAGGGGTTCGGGTCCAAGCGCCCTCCAAGGCATCCTGCCCTCCACAGCATTCTGCGCTCGCGCAATCGGGCCCAAGCGCCCTCTGCTAAGTTCTGAGCTCGCTAGATAGATCGTGCAGCTCAAGTCGATCCCACAGCCACGAGCTGGCAAAATGAGACGGGGAGAAGAAGGAGATGCACCATTGTTAAAATCTAGAGACTCTCACTTGGCTGGCACGTGGGGAAATATTCAAACACCCCCTTTTACTTGAAGCGCACAATATCGCGCAAACAAGTGCAAACTTATGCAAGATGGGTTTGTGGAGTTGGTGCGCAGCAGTCATGATTGGGGGGGCGTCTAATTCTTGGCACACCAAGTCACATTCAAAGTGATCTGGCCATCACCGTTGTCAAGAAATTCAAAGAGACTCAACAAGTCATGGTATTCCAGTTCCAATTGGCCTCAGTCGGGCTACGTTTTCCAGTGCGGCGTTGCCAAAATCAACAATGTTTGTCCTTGCCCTCATGCAACAATTTTGCATCAACATATTCAGAAACTCAGAAACTTTGGTGGCAACTTGCTCCGCTCAAAAGAGAAATGCAGAAAGGATGGCAAACAGCATTAATTCTTGTTCAAGCGCTTCTGAACCCAGTTCTGTATGGATGAGCTACAGGTGCCATTATTCGAAGCGGGCGTGTGGTCCTATTGGCACGTCGTGCTTTCCATGATGGCATGACGCTAGCCACTACGCCTAGGGACATTACGTAATAGTGACAGCCTAAGATATCAGGCCTCTCTCATTCACATGTATGTATGGCCTGCCACTTCTTTAGAGTGGCCCGTGCTGGAGCATTGGTAGGCGAGCTGTGGACCCGCATGGTTTTCTTGCTTTCTGGGTCCCTAATTTTGCAGCGTGGGAAACCTGATTGTGATCACCGTATATACCAGTTTACCTTCCTGTTTTGGTCCCCAGTAGGTGCCGGATCTAAAACGTGTCATCTTGGTACCATCACGTTTTGGTGAATCATGTCCCCATGAGCCCATACAGCGGCTATTCTTGTGTAAAGCGCGTGTCAGGAGTATGTAAAACCTTGTAGCACACGCAATTTTCACAACATTTCGCAAAATAGCATGGTGACGAGCAAGACATGTGCTCCAACCAAGCAAGCTCCTGTTATGATCCTAGGATATAGCCAGGGACGCCCTGTGACGCATCTGCAAATCAGTTTGAAGAACGTCTTAGTCCAGCTGCACTGCGCCGTGTTTCTGCAAGCCGCGGCGCGTTCCTAATTAACTGGAGGCGAACCCGACGGCTTGTGCTCCATGTCACAAACTTTTTCATGATGAGATGATTGTCACTCAACTTTTATTTGTTTGAAGTTACGGGCATTGGCAGCTTGAGGTGATTCCACTTCGCGTGGAGGATCGGGAAAATAAACCAGCAACCACAAGGTGAAGAAGCCGAAGCGGTCCGATTGGACAAAGAAGGGCGTGCAGAAGAAACCGGTACCCTTGACATGAGTCAAGCGCAACTTGGCACATCCCTGCCATTCGTTCTACGGCGTGATCCTGGATACTTAAGGTGTGCACCTTCCCCTCTGCCCCTGTTGGTCCAATGCAGGAAGCATAGCTTGGGATAACCCCCCTCCCTTCTCTTTCCCGTTCTCCTTTCTGCTCTTTCAATTCCCTGCCCCTCCCCCCTGTTCCCTGCTCTGCCCTCAGGAGTGTGTTTGTTCCTTTCCCGTGTCTCGCTGCTGGTATGTCTGTTTGTTGCTTGTTCTGCGCTGCGCTGTTGCCCTTCTGCATGCCACGGTTGGGTTGCTTTTTGCATGGTTTCGGCCTCCCCTCCTTTTTGTTTGTTCTGCCTGCGTGTTGTGCCTTTGTTGGTTGCATCTGGTTGTCCATTTGTTTTTTTGGTCATTTGTCGTCGCAGGCTGTCCTTGTTTCCCAGTCTCCCCCCTTCTCTCACTGCTCAGAATAATGTTTGTGTGTGTGTGTAACATCTGAACAGATGTAAAACTTCTGCAGGGGGCCTTGGGCGCATAGATGGCACGGGCCAACGAAGACCCATCTATGTCGTCGTGCAAACGTACCTGCAATTTTCCAGTTTATCGTCAATGGCAACCGGCTAAGCCAAGAACCGGACCTTAGGTCATTGTTTCTAATCTAGATTCAGTTCCCAACGGGTCACTTCAATAATCCATTTCTTGTCTAGTGCAATTTCCATGGTGACTCCGACATGGTGCCATGGAGCCATTTGAGGCATCCCTTTTTAGGAAGAAGTAGGACAGACCTGACTTCCGAATTAAAACATTTTAATCTGGTAATTCGTTTAAGTAAAGTGAAACAGTTGGAGATTCCGTTTCTCTACTTTTTACAATGTCTCGCCGCTCCTGCTGTCTTTCCGACACCTTGGAACTTCATCTTTACTCTAGTGAAGCCGATCCGAACAGCCAGCTCAAGCTTTCCGACACCTTGGATTTTTTTTTGCTGATGCTCAAGCTTCTGATTCTGATGCAACATGCAACATGACAGATGATCCAGGCAGGTACATGCCTTCCAGGTGTGGTGATTCTTTTCTTTTGATGGTTTTCTGGTGAGGTTAAACATTTCGTGCGTCTAATTCGCTTGAACTTGAACAGCCGTTTATGCCCATGTGGCTTGATCGACCACGGTCCCGTTTTGGGAGTAACGCCCGATTACTTAGGAGTGAACTGAGTTCCCTTAATTTTATGTTGTTGGTTCCTTTTTCGTCACCAACTTGTCCCCCATTCGGTCCCTAATTTCTCCCCCGTGCCCCTCTGTAATGTGTCGTGGGGTTTAGGTGTGTGCCCTGTGCTGGTTAGGTCCGTTTCGCCGTGTAGGTTGGTTCTGGAGGCCGTTTGTTCCCTTCCCCCCCTGCGCTGTTTTTGGCCTTCTGCCCGTCGTTTGTGTCCGCTTTTTCTCTTCCTCTTGCCTTTCAGGGTTGACCCAGCTCCGGCCGAGTGTGTGTGTGTGTGTGTCTAACATCTGAACAGATGTAAAACTTCTGCAGGGGGCCCGTGGACGCATAGATGGCACGGGCCAACGAAGACCCATCTATGTCGTCATGCAAACGTACCTGCAATTTTCCAGTTTATCGTCAATGGCAACCGGCTAAGCCAAGAACCGGACCTTAGGTCATTGTTTCTAACTGCATGTGAGGGGATTCAGTTCCCAACGGATCACTTCAATGATCCATTTCTTGTCTAGTGTGTGTGCGAACTGCTTTTTCACGCAGTCTTTTTTGAGCTCATTGAGAAAGCAAGGGGCCACCGGGCTCTGGGGGGCCGGTGGCCAAGTAAAACACCCTCTGGGACCTGTGAAAACGTACCATTGTTTCTTGTGGTTGGCTTGTTCGCTTCCTCCCCCCGCTCTTTTCATTGCCCCATCACGGGCCTCTTTGTGTGCGCAGGCGAACATGTGGCGAAAAGTTTTATACGTCATCCTCGGACAAACAAACAAACAGTTTGAAAGATTATGGTCTTGAGCATGCATTTGCTCAGATTCTAGAAACCTAGGGTCGCTGTGACTCTTTGATATAGCAAACAAATTATCCCGGCAACAGACCCCAAACGGTGTGGTGGAGTGGGAGAATAATGTAGGATCATGTTGATGGTGGTGATGATGATGATGATGGTGATGGTCATGGTGATGATGATGATTATTGTTATGATGGTGGTGGTGTTGTTGATGATGATGATGGTGATGGGGATGATGATGGGGATGATGATGTTGAGGATAATGAGGTGTAGGAGGATGGTGTTGAAAATGATGAGGTTGAGGATGATGATGATGAGGATGATGATGAGGAGGGTGAGGATGCGGATAATAATGCGGAAGACGAAGTGGATGATGATAAGGTAGAGGATCAAGATGCTGAGAATGATGATGACGACGGTGATGACGATGATGATGGTGATGATGATGATGATGATGATGACGATGATGATGATGATGACGATGATGATGATGATGATGATGATGTTGAGAAGAATGAAGATAATGATGTAGAGGATGACAATGTTGAGGAGGATGAGGAAAAGGATGAGAATGTTGCGGAAGATGAGGTGAAGGAGAATGATGTTGCGGAAGATGAGGTGGAGGATGATGATGCGAAGGGGGACGAAGATGGTGATGTGCGAGCCTGCGCAGTCGAAATGCACTTCAGCATTTCACACTAGCCTGCGCAGTCGAAATCCACTTCAACATTTCACAAGAGCCACTTGACGCAGACATTTACAGGAAAAATGCCGCGCCCCAGAACCTGGGCGCACACTTTGTGAGAGCCTGCGCAGTCGAAATGCACTTCAACATTTCACAAGAGGAGCCACTTGACACGGAAATTTACAGGAAAAATGCCGCGGCCCAGCTGGAGCACCCTGATCAAGCACCGGCCTTTACACCTACCGTAAGAACCCCTCAGTGTGGACACACTATTTGGCAACTGATCAGATCGAGCAGCTCTTCATGTGTCTAGTGACTAGTGTTTCACAGGAATTGCCCCAATAGGGGGCTGTTGTGTGTGTGCGTGTGTGCGTGCGGGTGTGGGTGTGGGTCTGGGTGTGGATGTGGGTGTGGGTGTGTGCGTGTGCAAACTGCTAATTCACGCAGTCTTTCTTGAGAAAGCAAGGGGCAACTGGGCCCCTGGGGCCTGGTGGCCAACGAAAACACCCACCGGGACCTGTGAAAACGTACCTGCGTGATGCGTGATCAGCGAATTGCTTATTTTTTTGTTGGTCCCCACTGTCCCGCTGCTGCATCTGCTGGTGTCTTTAGAAATCTGTGTGGGTCTGAAGCACAACTCTCGTTCATGCAATTGTTTGCTCTTGGCTAATCAGGCCTACTCAAGAACAAAAGGCGACGGCTTTGACATCCTTAAACAGCGCCAACTCGTCTAAAACCACGGCTGTGTGTGTGTGTGATTGTGTGTGTGTGACACCTGACGTAACAAAGGAATGATCGAAACAGATTGGAGGGCGATGGGCATGTCACAATTTCTTGATGATGATTTTCAGGTTCTGAACTTGACATGTATTCAATTTTATCGATTGTCCAAGTAGAGTAAGTAGAGTGAGATGTATTAAGGAAGGAATGACCTAGGAAACCTCAAGGCGTGGACAAGGTCTATAACAGTATATCCACATTTCACTCAATCTGCAGTGTGTGAAACATCAGAATGCATGTAAACCTTCGAACCGCTGAAAGCAGGGGCACTGAGCACTCCATGGCAAACCCAATGGAATGATCAGACCTACCCTTTACAGCGGAAAGGCGGAAAGCGAAAACTCAAGGCACCAGGCACCAGGAGCTACATTTTGCGATAAACCAGTTTTGGTGCTGTGGCTAAAGTCACTGCCGCTGATGAGTAGCACCCAGGTTTTAGGAGACTAATGACTAGTGACTAATGCAGCTGCAGTTTAGTACTGTTTTGGGTGATCACACTCAGGAGGGATCTGCAGCATTGTTTTGAGCACTTCCTTTTGAATCCTTTTGCAACCAGTGCCAGGGACGTTTTTTATCCGCGGCATTCTTGAAACAAGCGATGAAATGATTTCTGGAAGTCTTTGCCCCACCCCGCGACTTCAAGGCACTGATCCAAAATTGAAGCTTGGGTGAAGCAACCAGCTTGGCAAATTCCTCGATGCTAATGGACCCATCTCCGGAAAAATCCTAAGTGGAAGGGGCACTCCAAAGGATCAGAAGCTGCTGCCAGTTAGTCTGAGCCACGTGCTGGATGGTTGGAAAACGAAGCATGAACTTGGCCATAGGAATTGCTACCACACTATTTCACAGGTCTCATGCAAGCAAACAAGCAGATCGAAGGTGGGGGAACCCCTCCTACAAGCACCTTATCATTATGTGCAGGCCGGTGCGAGGCCAAGTGGTGTCAAGAACTGCGTGGGGGCCAACTAGGAAGGACGCAATGGACTATCCAATCCAAACGGAAAAGAAACGAAAAGAACATCTTGGGAATCCATTTCATTGCATGGACCGATCGACGATTAATCTGTCCCTCGTCCCCCACCAAGGCCAACCTGTTGGACAGGGACCACAACTCTGAAATGAAGCAACTGATATCTTAACAAACGGCTTGTCATGCTGATAAGGGAAACCAAGGGAGTACCTAAAGGTGGCGTACGAGGGCCTTGGCATTTTTTACATCGTGGTTGATGGCAAAATCCTTACCGCTCGACTGATATTGAGCTCCAGCATCCATGGCCCGAAACAATTTCTTCACTTTCCTGGTGTACATCGCCTGAGCGGCTCTGCGTGGCTTAAAACACAAGTTCTGTGCAAGCCTTTAACTTTGCCAACAAAACAAAGGCATGGATATCCAAAATGAAAATGGTAGACTGTTTTTTTGGGGCACCATGCTGCGCACACACGCATACATGGATGCATATACTGTATATATACATTGTATATATATATTATGTATATATATGTATATGTATATATATATATGTGTGTGTATGTATGTATGTATATATATATATGTATATATATGCATATGTAGATATATTTATATATGTAGATATATGTAGATATATATATATATATATGTGCGCGTGTCTGTTCTTTAATGTATAATCATGATATTATATAGACATAATATGTATATATATAATAATAATATGATATAATGCAAAAAAAACGCGAATGAATATACATCACATCTGTCAAATCAACTCAGCGCCTTGTCTCGTTCCTTCTGTCGGAAGGCGAGCTCTTCATCTGAGCTGGCAGTTTTCATGGTCCTCAGCTGGTGAACTCACCTCAACGACACCTCAACTGAAATCCACCTGGCATAGGAATCAAGAATGAATGATTTATGTGGCAAAATTGTCAGTAAATATAAATAATGTTTATATAAATGGATGATTTGGGATGATAATTGGTGTTTCTTTCATCTCAATCCATTTCATATGTTTGGAATAACGTTATGGGTTCTCGTCATGATTCTACAGGAGCTCATGAGCATTGCCAAGCCATCATTCAACATCTTTGATCCATCGGAATTCTCCTCCGAAAAGTGAACAGCGATACAAGCCAGTCCCCAAATCCATCACTGCTTGCCTCACATTTGTTTAATTACGAACTGCATCTAGGCCGCCTCTATATAAACACCAGAAGACCAAAAGGAAAGCATACTATTTTTTTAAGAAACCGTGGTAAATCCAATGCCATAAATCTACCATTCGGGGATGGTGTATACAGGCCCCCAAAATGATGATGACTTGGGGATAAATTATGGCAGCCAGGCTTCTGTTGCACGAACACGGCGTTGACGACCTCAGGTTAGAGATATCAGGCGCCAATCCGACGCTACACGGGAAGAGTCACCAGGCAACAAGTCCAAGCTTTATCCCATGGATCCACCTTAAAACCGTATTCTGGCACCTTTTGAATTTCTTGATGGAACAGAACAATGATGGACCATCAGTGGAACTGTTCCAGAAGTTCTGGTGTGTGTGAACTATTGACCACATGGCGCAAGCGGATGCAATTGGGTAAATGACGTTATTGTTGTATGTTTAATTGTTGGGCCCGACACTTTACTTGCAATTGGGACCATCAAGTTGGTTGGATCAATTGAATCACCACAAGACAGTAGTTTTCCACTTTACTTGTTGACCATCGTTGGCTCACTATCGAATCAACACTAGAATGAGCTAGAATCAAACATATTCTTGGCAATGTATACGTACCGTTTGTTGAATGTTCACAATGAGGCCAGGAAGTACAACACCTGGTTGGTGGTTTCAACCCCTCTGAAAAATATGAAAGTCAGTTGGGATGATTCTTCCCAATATATGGGAAAATAAAAGCAATGTTTGAAACCACCAACCAGTAACACTATAGTGTTATATTAGTGTTATATTAGTGTTATATTAGTGTTATATTAGTGAAAATAAACAATGTTTGACACCACCAATCAGTTATCCATTAATTATCCAATCATCATCTCAAAGGATTGGTTTAAGGGAAAATCTACACCGGAAACCCATGGGTTTTTACCATCAAATATAGGGTTTTCCGGTTAAAATTTTCCCATCATCCAATTCTATGGTCATCCATTTTCAGAAAATGACCCCCCCATTTGAAGCAAACTCCAGATTCGATGAGTCCAGGAGCGTTGAGAACAGCGAAGCCAAGGACGCATCCTCAGCCGTTGGTCTGGGTCAACAACGACCTACAAACATAATTATATATATATATATTCAAATGGCATTGTTATCTATAGTGTTGTTCAATAAATGATAGCCATACTGTTATACACTTCTCTTAATATCTATGCCGTCTGATAATCACAGCAATAATTATTCAATGCTGCTAGTTGGTATAGCAAATTAATTTGCACCAAAAAACAGCCTAGCATTGTCTCAATGATGATGGTCATACATAGCAATATCACATAGTTCTTTGGTGAAAGTGTTTGAACCACCGCCGCCAGTAAACTGCGTACAAACTGGAATTGCCAGATCATCAAAGGCACATCAAAGCACATCATCAAAAGCAGGGATGGACATCACAAATATTCAACATCAAGTCACGAACCGGTCTGTCATTAAAGTGACCCTCCAGTGAACTAACATAGCTATGGGAAACTAGCATGTTTCAGAATAATTAATCTACACATGAACCATTCTCCATATATTAGATTAGCAGAGAGTATTCCACATTAGTCGCGTTGCTGCCCTAGTTTCAAAATTTTTAAACAAATTGGTAAAGTGGGCATGAACAAAAATCGCCGCCCGGACATCGAGAAGTATGGTTCATGTCCCAGGATGTCAATATAATGTTGTTCAGAACATAATCCTGTTCTGGTTTGTGTGCTGGAATGTGTTGGTGATTTTTCTTCTGTAGACCCGCAAATGCTGTGACAAAACTATGCATCTGCCAAGACTCGATACAACAGGAAAAAAATGGAAAACCATTCGCTCAAGTTGTCCACCAGCACTCGGCACGGCGGAGACCAATTAGCGAAGAGGATCTCAAACATCGTCAAAACCTCGGCGTCAGTTGCGTCAGTTTTCCCGAGTCACTCGGAGATGGGGATTGGTCAAGTTGTTGGCTGCCAATGGAAAGGTATAGCTGGGAACCGGGAACATTTTGAGTAAATTGTACGTTTTTTTTGTCCATCACGATCATCAAAAATAAACGGAGGCTATGATAAAAAAAAATGTGAGCACCCTCACGTTTGCTTTTTGAGAACCAACCCTGACTGCAGCATGTCAATATTGTATTTCTTCCGCCCGAGAAAGTTGCGGCCATCCCTTGACCAAACCAAGCAGATTCAGCACCAAAGTGACGGTGCGAGTGAACGTGCCGTAGTACATGTAAACTTCCTGGGCAGCATCTGTGTGAGCCCGAAATTCACCAAGGGTAGCCATAGATACCCCAATATGCATCGTGACTAACTTGTACCAATATAACCGCTATAAATGTATTGTCAAATGTTGTGCGCAAAGAACCGGGTACCTTTTAGGAAGCCACTTCTCTCCCATTCAAGAAAAATACGAGTCAAGTGTGCAATTTTGTGGGCGGTCTGGCCACTATAATTAAATGACTAGCCAACAATATAAAACAACGCGTACATCTCAGCATGGATGGAAATTGGTTGCAGCTGTGATTTCCCAAGTCAAAACAAGCACCCTATATTATGTACAGTACCCATAACTCCTGAATAAGGGTTTGCTTTGGAAATGACTTTTTTGGTGGCACCCTTAAAGTAACATGATGTTGAGATTCTATGTAATGTTAATAAGTTCACATTAAATTTTCCTCCAATTAAACAACCCCCACATTCCAATACTTTACTTCGAGTGATCCCCCCATGGCATTTCAAGGCATACTTCTGACATACATTCTAACATGTTACCTAACATTCTATCTATCAAATCTTGCGGACTGATGTCCCATGCTTGCTGCGTCCTGTTGAGTTCATATCTAGTATCTTTGGGCGGAATTGCAGTTGCCAAACGGCATCAGAAAGAAAGCAAACTGATGCCATATCTTATGCCAGTCTGTCTGCCATAGGTATCTGCCATATCTTCTGGCATTCTTTCTGACATTCTATCCGCTATATCTTCGATGATTCTTTGTGATCCAGGTCCGGCTGAGAACACTCTGATCCGGGGCTTCCTCTTCGGGCCCGGCACGGACCACTGCGGTTTGCTGTTTGGGCCCGGCTCCGCGATCTAGCAGGGACCACTGCGATCACGAGCTTGCAGTTGAGGTCCGGCGGGGCCACTCTGATCCGGGGCTTGCTGTTCGGGTCCGGCTGGGACCACTGCGATCTAGCGCTTGCAGTTGAGGTCCGGCAGGGACCACTCTGATTCTGAGTTTTCTGTTCGGGTCCGGAGGGGACCACTGCGATCACGAGCTTGGAGTTGAGGTCCGGCGGAGGAGGAGGAGAAGGAGGAGGAGGCCAGCTGACATGAAGTCTAACAACCCTCACCTGACAGGTGGGAAAAAATGTTGGCAATACTACTTTGGGTTGGTTCCCCCTATTAATCAACATGGGTGGCCACCCCCTATTTTAAAACACCCTTCTGGAAAATCCAATTTTCTTTGGCGGTGAGAAAGTAATTTGTTGAGTAATTTGGTTCTGATGTTTCTGACCTGATGGCTCTGGTGCTGGCTTAAAAGGGATGCAAGAGACACATGGTTCAGGAAAGGAGATGTATGGTGCAGGGTCAATGAAGGAGATGCTTTATAGTTATGTTAATACATATGCATATATAATCATGTATAGATTTATTGAAGAGATTCAAGGTACTGAATTCCGAAAAAAGAAAAAAACTATATAGGACAAGCCCAAAAATTCTGATCGAAATCAAATGCATTTTCCTGCTTACTTTGTTATGCATGTGCACCCCAATTAAAGAACACCCTCAGCCCCCCGGGCCATAAATTTAGATTTTAAAGGAACATCAATTCAATGGAAAGTATATAAATTCTTTTCAATTGAACTCCTTATATGTCCGTAAATTCAAAGAATAATTGAAAGTAAATTGATTTCGATAGAAATTTATGCTTATCCCTTTAGTTTAAAAGGATAATCCATTGAAATCCTTACTATCCTTTGGATTCAAAAGGAAAATCAATTGAACGTAAATTGATTTCAATTGAAATCCTGACTTATCCCTTTAGATGAGGTTGCCACTGATAAGAGAAATCTCGACCCATTGGCAGCTATTGCCAGGCAGGTTTGTTGTTTTTCATGTATGACATAGTTACCTAGTTTTAATTGGGGGGAACTCTTACCTTCTGGGGAAGGGAGGGGTTTCCATCTTCGGCTTACCGCCAAGCCAAGCATCTTTGCGTACAGCGCTATCATACTCTTCATGCGACAAAAAGTCTTGGCCTCTTGTGCATGTGGAAGTACGATCCAACAGGAAGGGATAACATGGGACAACAGAACTGGCACATTTGAAACAAAGGAATGGAGATCATCTCTTGGAAATCAAAAAAATGTTTGCATTCCAGATGTGCGAGTGTTCCTTTGTTTGGCCGCTCCACCAAACTCCAGCACCCCCAAATCTGGGATTTTCACTGGGAAGGGTGAGGGACAATGATGAGACGCCTTCAGCAAAACAAACCCCCAAATTGACCCAATTATCATATTTGCCCCATAGAAGTGGAATGTTATAATTAATTTGAAGCATTTTCTCATAGGAATATACAGTAGTTATTCCGTATGGTCTTGACTATCCAGCGGAACACTATCCGAATCCAGCGAAACAGTCCATTTCCCAGTTTATCGTCAAAACATTCCCCATCAAGCCATCCTCCACCACCCAGTCCAGTGGCAAAGGGTGCTCAGGATCATTCCTGCCACACACTGAACGAAGGCCAACAAGCAAAAGCTCCACCACAACATATCCTGAGCAGTTTCAAATCACAGCATTCAATGACTTCTGAGATGATTTTTGTTTTTAATTGCCATGAACTGCAAAAAAAACAATAAAATATGTTATTCATCTACTCGTCATGTTATCCGTTCTTGTCCTATCCAATCCGCCTACGATTACCTGCCATCTAGAAACGGGCCTAATTACCATACTTACTTCCATTCCACAATTCCAGTCATTTCTCAAACATAATCAGCAACCTGACTTGAGATTCGAATCTTGACACAGGTGGGTCCTCACAAAATGCCACCCGATGGAGCGATGGAGCCCTTTGGTTCATACGAAAGTGATCCATCTTGGCAGTACAAGTATGGACAGTACTGGAAACACATCGGAAACTATGACCAAACTTTGCTACCCTCATAGTACACGACATTGATTCCACATCTTCCCATTTACATCCATTGACCGTCATTTACCAATGCCAAACATACGTCAATGCCCGAGATCTGGCCGTGACCAACAGTGTTGCTGAGGATCCCTGCTCGCTACCAAGCATTTTACTAAGAGCTGCAATGAGGCCAGGACGCTAGTCATGGCAACCTCTCACGTGGTGGGCTACCGGGCTACTGAGCACCCAAGGCTTTTTGAAGAATCAGCTAGGGGACGTTTCAAGGCTTGTGATTTTTATGATTATGATAATCTTCCTGTATTCCTGTATTATACATGGTTTTATGTTGTTAATCCACTTATTACCGTACCATGGCGAGGAAGTGTTTCGTTATCTTCAGACTTTCCCTATCCCTTTGACATCGGCATTTTCACGTCATGCTTTCGCATCAGTTCCTCTTCATTCCCTCAGATTTCCATATACCTCCCAGTAAATGGACATAGACAGAGCCAGGGGCTGGAAGATGAGTTTCCACTAAAAAGTCTCAAAACATGTGATTTTCAGGGTCCAACTGTTAATTTCCTGAAGGGATCTGAAGGGTAAGATCCCCCAGGGCCATCGCCGTGGCGCCATGCGGATGGCGCGAATCAGCTTCCCCACGCGGAGCAAGCGGAAGAGCATGGGCTCCACCGGCAGCTTCACGGTGTAGACAAAGGCCACTTCGACAATCGCTGCCAGGCCTCGGAAACAAGAAAACGTGTCACAGGGTGAACAAAATTTGGAAACAACTTGCGGGACCAAAGATATCAAGAAGCATCATTCTATATTTTTATATCTATATATATATATACGTGCATGTATATATATATATAAACCTGATATTGACCAACATTTGGTATTGATTCATATTGATTCACCCAACGAGGTTGTATGATTTTCGTTGGTTGAAGCTGGATTTGGATTTGGGGGAAGCATGCAGGACAACCTATGATATAATATGAATTAATATGATAATATATATATATATATAATTATAATTAATTATATATAATATAAATATGATTCTTGCTTGTTGGCACTGGAGGTGTTATGATTATGAGAGTTTTGGAGTTTTGTGCCACATACAGTATTCCTCCAAACAGCCTGTGACACGAGGGGGATTTAAGCCATCCCTCGATCCCGGGAAGCAATTGGATCCACTGCAGGGCCACTGCAGGGCTTATGATTACCGAGTGATACCACCTGAATCTCCATATGTTTCAGGAAGCTTGTGAATCTGTATGGTCGAGATGGATGTCAACAGAGGTCACCAAGTTCTAGCTATTCTGGTTGCGACTGACACGTCCGTGGGTGGATTCTGTCGCAGAAATTTGGGAACGGAGGCAAAACTTGCAGTGCAACTGTTCTTGAACTCAACTGCCAATATGCTGTAAATCTATGTATATCTGTATACATTCTCAAGCATTCTGTTTGTGCCTTTAATGAATGATTGCACTAGATGTGTGTGCAGAACACTATCTATCAGTAACAGTCAAGAGAAATGATTTTCCAATTTTTCCAGAATGCCAGCAAGTTTGGTATGCATGAGCCCAACATAGTCATACATAGAATCAATAACAAACCATCCCAATCGTGAGGGGTTCATCAGAAACATCACCCCACTTCTAGGGGCATGCCCTATTCACTAAGCACTTTTATTTTGGGGGAATGGTTCGCAGCATTGGGTTTGCCTCATTACTGTCAACCGAGGATTCATGCATATCCCCCGTTTATTAATAAGGAGTACCAATGTTAATAGTAAGTTAGCATAATTTTTGGCACATTTTTGTTGAGGTCCGATTCATCAAAAGTCACCATTCAGAAATCTGGCAGCCAAAGCTGCTGACCAAGACATCGATGAAGTTCATCCACACACGCCAGAATTTGCAACGCAAGATGGCAATCCTTAGAGTCACCTCTGATGCAAAGAAGACTGCGAAAAAGGTATCCACCACCTGGAGGCAAAGGAGGCAAAGGAGAAGGGCAAACTATTTTACAAATGCTGTGTGTGTGTTTTTTTGGGGGTGCATATAGACTACAAATGGCTGTAATATGTCATAATGGCCCTAACATTGTCCTGACATGGCAAAATGAGGTAAAAGGATGGTCTACGAATGTAGTTGGATTTCATGATGATACTGGAAACATATGAAACATGCTGCATATGCTATACATGCGATTTGTGATGGCTGAAACATCACCATTCAGAATGCCACAAGGCCACAAGTCTCACCGCTGATGGTGTAAAAATTCTGTCCCTGACCCCCGAGCAACCAGCTGGCGCCTAGCATGTGCTGGCCAAGTCAAAAGCGTGCATGACTTGATGAGATCTTCATGAATCTCTCTCTCATTTGCTTTCATGGTGAAACCTTGCCATATCTGTGAAAAGTGCCATTGAGGTTGGTCATGGAGACCCCACCCTGATAATCTAATCCATTTTTCCATGGCATTTTTCTCGGTGCCTGAGTCAGGATCTTCCACTCATCGCTGTCTGCAGTGACCTTCTCATCATTGATGATCCCTAACTCGTTGCCAGTCTTCCCTCCATTCACCTGCAATGACACCGCCATCCACAGGACATTCGCCAGCAGCGCTACTGCAATAATACCCTCAAAGGATGAAGATTGCAGCCACTCGGCCAATCGTCCGTACCATGTGAGGCTTTCGACATCTGGAAAATCTTTGGTGTCAAAGAAGGTCATGGAAGCCTGCACTTTGCACAGCTTGGAGGGAAAGTGAAACAAGACCCCACTACTAGTATATAGAACATCTGACTTTTGCTGAAGTAACTTGGCCAACATATTTCATTCTAATTCTAATAGATACCCTAAAGGAAACTTTGGGCAGGGGAGGCTTTGGGAAGGACCCTGAGCTCAAGACTGAATTGATCATCGCCTTCAAAACTGCCAGCTGTTAAGGAACACCGACTGGAGCGGTGCCCACAACTGCAGCCCCAAGAAAGAACCGAAGGCCAATGGATCCAAATGCCAGATTCGCAAGACGCGTCATGAAACACCAAATCTTTGTTTACTGGGCCCTTCTCATCCTGTGCCCCTGAACATAGCAACAACGTGGTCATGTTTTTCAGTCAAGTCGCTGAGTTTCGTGGTGGTTTCAGGGGAGTTTCCTCACGACTGATGGTAATCAATGGATTGCTGGACGATCGTTTCTGTGACATGCTCCGGACTGCGTCCATGAACTGCGGATGGTGGTCCAGGGCTTGTAGCAAAGGTCCCGCCTGGTTGTCGCAGAACCCAAAAAAATGTCCATGGTCAGTAGACTCAGTAGATGGTGATGAAATAAGAACATCATCTACTGAAATCCCTTGATCTGATTGATATGGCTGTGGCATGCTGTGGCTACGTCCATTGAAGTCCCAACTACTGTAAAATCCTCTTGTGTTTCCACGATGTCAGCCACTTGCAGCTGCTTAAATATGCTTATGCTTTAAAGATGCTCAATCCCAGTCCAGTCCCAATTCTTCCACTTAAACTTAAACCAGTCCATTGGTGTCCTTGAGTTCACACCCCACCTGTAGTTCCTTTCCCATGTGTTGCTGACACATCAATTCTGAGGCCGAATTCCGTCGCACCCGGGCGTAGGAACCCAACGGAACCGACATGGATGCATATTTTTGGCCTGGCTGCGGCTACGAGAGCTGCTGGCCTGCAAAAAACATAGAAACGCTGAGTAATGCTGAGTAAGACTTTAGGTGGTGCGAAACCAAAAACCGGTGGTTTTTTAATATATCGGTCATGCATAGATGGATTTCAACATATTTCAACCTAAGTATCTTTATCAAACTATTGAAAATCTTCCGAATATGCATGCGCTGAGGGACAAAGTTCCGAGGCTGTCACCGCAGGCGATCCCCTGGGGAGCACGCCCAGTGGAAGTGACATGGAAGCAGCTTCAACGGCCTCCTGGGGGGTCGTTGTTCAATCACTTCATCCCTACAATCCCTACACAGGTCCCCAAAACATAGGTCCTTCTTTTACTTCCGAAATGGTTTATTATATGTCTTGTTTGTGTGATGATGTGTGATGTGACCCCGGTAGTTTTATTTGATTAATTTTGGGTTTCCAACTTGTGTATCTATTTTGGCATTGTTTTATCTAGAATATACTCATGTGAATGTAAATGCACATATTCATGGGCGCAAATGATAGCTCCATAATTCTGACAGTGACCCCAAGTGAAGAGGTCCCAGCCAACGACCATCGCAAGTGTCGGGAGAGCCCCAACTTCTTGGGAAAATCTGAGGACTTCAGGAGAATGACTGTAGAGGTAAAGATGTAACTTCAAGAAAAGGTGATGCCACTCAAGAAAAGCCGATGTGGCTTCAATAATGCTTCAATATCTTTGACTGTTTGCAAATGCTTCAGGTTCAAAATGTGCATATCTTATCTGGCAGCGGGCAGATTCCCGAAACAGGCAAATGATGCCTGTAAAGAAGACACCTCTAAAGAATGGACATACCTCATCATGAATTCCAGGTTACATCAAACAGTGTTGGTTTGTAAATTCATCATAACCACTATAGTGTAATAGTATCACCTTTTAAAGGTACACTGTATCTGGTTTTTCCCGCTCGCAGCCCAAAACTCGTTGCAACTTTGGAGTGGCCTCCCAAGTCTTCATCACTTTTTTCCCCGGGTAGAATTTATGAATATTATAAATTATATATATATATTATAGTAAATCGAAAACGATGGAACGTGTCAAATCTTACTAAAATCATCTGAAATAGTGATCAATTACATTTTCTATCACCATATATCCATTGGATAGGCCAATTCCACTGAATCTCCATAAAATACATTGAAACACCATGAGTGGACTTCTGAAAGTGCGACCCTTTGGGGATGATTTCCTGCTGTACCCTGTGGGAATCAAACATGGCTGGAAAATCCCGTTGAAATGCGGGATCTATAGTCGGTGATTAAGTGGCATGTCGTTGGGTTTAATAGGGAAACATCATTGGTAAATAAATAAATAAATTATATATATATATATCATTACCTGTACTGTATATATATATATATGTATATAATTATAAATTATATATATATATGTAAAACATTATATCACCATATATCACCAACAATAACCAACTAAATCCAACAAACCATGTGTGATTACCAGACTATTACCAAAGGTTATGGCCAAGTCAACCCTCCAAAAGCATCAAAAAACGGTGGCTCCTGGAAGCTATCGCCGCGAAACTCATCTGTTTCCACACCGCCAAGGAGACGCGAAGAGGATCCCAACGGTTCCAAGGTGCTGTCGAAGACGCCTGGGGCACCTTGGAATCCCCCGTCACCACGGGGTTCAGTACGAAGTCTTGGTTTAACTGGGGGATGATTTGGGGTCGGAATCATCCCATTTTTATACCATTACTGGCCATTACTTAGCATATACATCTTAGTACTTTAGGGACTTGGGGGGTTTCCAAATAACTGGGGGATGAGTCGGATGAGTTGGTAATTACCATTACGTTAGGAACCCCCCCAAGTCCCAAAAGTCGTTTTTTTTTTGGGTGGGAGTCATCCCATTTTCTGCATCATGATCAGGATAGATCAGTGATGATCAGTGAGGTTTCGAAAAACACAATTCTTGAGCGGTACTCCTATGTTGAAACGGTTTGATTTCCACCCAGAACCTAAAGTTTCATGTTCACAGTTTGTTGGGTTTCATATGTTTTCATTAAAATCGAATTCACTACAATTGGAACCCAATATGAATTTCTCCAACTTCCTGCACCTAACCAGGGTTTCGGTTGGGGGTGTGAATATGAGGGGAACAAAGATGGTTTTTTCTCACTCCAGCACCGCAATGTTTCTATATGTTTCTCTGGTGGATTGGACCCTATCAAAATAATTCTTAAGTATTCTTAAGTATTAGTATAAGCGCTTCTGTTGGACTCACCTGTGAAACCATGCTACTCTAACATGGGGGGGTTCATTCCTTCTCCTCTCGGACGGCCGTCGGGCATTCGCAGCTACGGCAGCGCTGTGCAGCCCAAGGCGCCGGCCCGTTGTGCTTCAGAGACTTCTGCGATATGTTGCTGGATCAACTCCTGGACTAAGCCTCAGTGGCCAGGTTGGCAACTCTCAGCTTGGCCGGATGGAAATGAATCGTCATCCGCGGAACTTGGTGGAGATACGGACCTGGACAAACATATCGACAAACTTATAAAGTGTATTATCACTGGATATTCAAACCTGGATAAATCATCAAACACCATGTTGCAAATGACTTCCCCTTACTGACCATGGTCGGGCCATGAGCCGCGAACACTTTGTTCTGTTCATCTTTGTTGATCATCCCAAAAGTGCAAAATAGGCATTACACCCCGTTGAGAGTGGGATGACTGGGGTTGTTATATATGCGTTGGATTGCGTTGGTGCCCTCAGAAAGAATTCTTATTCGCAATTTGGGTGAACTATTGGAGGACCCATCCACATTTTTTTCATGTCAACTGGAAACATGTTCCATCATTTTCCCAAATGGACTGTGAAAACCTCTAATATCATGTGCAATTAGCCACACACACATATGAAGCCAGTCAAAAATCAATCACCGCATCCGCGGATTCTCATTCTGCACCCTGCCCGCAGCAAAAATTACCCTCTGGTAAACTAACATAACTATGGAAAATCACCATTTCCAATAGGGAAATCAACTATAAATGGCCATTTTCAATAGCTATGTTAAATCACATAAATTACCAGAGGGTACATCAAATCATCAAGCTCCATAGGCTTCCCAATCCATGGATCAAATGATCAGATCCGAGCTGCGTCGAAAATCTCCGGATACGCTCACTGCCTCGGAGTTCTTCAGAAATTGGAACCCATGCTTAACAAACATATCCCGTATCTTTAGCTGTAACATCTATAAATGACATTATATATATATGTGTGATTTATAATATATATATATATGTATATATTGTATTATATATTATATATGTATATAAATGATATTACTATGTGTACAGTATGTTTAATATCCACCAAGAGAAAACACTATTCCTCGCAATTCATATTGTTATTTCCTATTACCGATTTAAGACGTACACCATGATCATGTAATACCCCACAAAAAATAACATATTATATAATATTGCATAATGTTATGATATGACACAATAATATATATATATATACATATCATTATAAATCCCATTATGGTTTATTCTATATGGGTGCAGTTTTTTTTTTATTGTTGTTTTTTTTCCGATTTTGTTTGTTTTTCAATCTGGCGCACTTTTCCTTGCTATTTGCTACATTTTGGAGCAAAAACCTGTACTGTGCTGAATTTTGGAGCTAAAATGTGCCATTTGCACTGTTCATTGATTTTTTCCATGGTTTTTAGCTGGTTTTTCTATGGTGTTCATTGATTTACCCAAAGTGTTCATCGATATTCCAATAGTTTTCATTGAATTTTCATTGAGTTTTCTATGGTTTCAATTGATTTTTCCATGGTTTCGATCGATTTTTCCATGCATAACATGCACCTGAACATGTAGAATATAAGTTGAAGCACAACCGTGTTGGGTCTAAATAGTGGCATCGGATGCTATCATAGTGTTGGTTAGTTTAGGGTTTATTTAGGGTTGGTTAAGGATCATTTAGGATTGGTTTAGGGTTGGTTTAGGGTTTATTTAGGGCTGGTTTAGGGTTTATTTAGGGTTGGTTTAGGGGTTATTTAAAGTTTGTTTAGGGTTTATTTAGGGTTTGTTTAGGGTTTATTTAGGGTTATTTTAGGGTTCGTTTAGGGTCTATTTACGGTTGGTTTAGGGTTTGTTTAGGCTTGGTTTATGGTTGGTTTAGGGTCATTTAGGTTATCTTTAGGTTGAGTCTAGGGTTTATTTAGGCTTGGTTTAGGGTTGGTTTAGGGTTTATTTAGGGTTGGGTTAGGGTTTATTTAGGGTTGGTTTGCGGTTTATTTAAAGTTTGTTTAGGGTTTATTTAGGGTTATTTAGGGTTGGTTTCGGGTTGGTTTAGGGTTTATTTAGGGTTAGTTTAGGGTTTATTTAGGGTTGGTTTAGGGTGTTTGTTTAGGGTCGGTTTAGTTTTTCTTGAGGGAGGGTTGTGTTGGGTTGGTTTATGGTTGGTTTAGGGTAATTTAGTGTTATTTAAGGCTATTTATGGTTATTTAGGGTTGGTTTATGGTCGATTTAAAGTCTGTTGGGGGTTGGGTTAAGGTACATGTAGGGATACAAGGTGTGTGTAGGTAGGTAGGTAGGTAGGTAGGTAGGTAGGTAGGTAGGTAGGTAGGTAGTAGGTAAGTAGGTAGATAGGTAGACAGATAGATAGATAGATAGAAAGTTAGATATAAAGATAGATAGATAGAAAAAAAATAAATAGATAGATACTTAGATAGACAGATAGATAGAAAACATTGGTTGATAGATTGATAGATTGAATAGATTAGATAGATCAGATAGATATATCGATTAGATTAGACTAGATTAGACTAGATTAGATTAGATTAGGTTAGGTTAGATGAGATTAGTTTAGATTAGGTTAGATTAGATTAGATTAGGTTAAATAGATAGGTTAAATAAATAGATTAAATAGATAACTTAAATAGATAGATTAAATAGATAGATTAAATAGATAGATTAAATGTATAGATTAAAAAGATAGATTAAACATACAGAGTAAATAGACAGATTAAATAGACATATTAAATAGACATATCAAATAAATAGATAGATTAACAAGATCGAATAAAAGATAGGTTAGATCGATTAGATTAGATAGATTAGATAGATTAGATAGATTTGATAGATTTGATAGATTTGGTAGAATTGATAGATTTGATAGATTAGATCGATTAGATAGGTTGGATAGGTTAGATAGATTAGATAGATTAGATATATTAGATAGATAAGATAAAAACAAGATAAACAAAGATAAACCAAGATAAAATGAGATAAGATTAGATAAGATTAGATTAGATTAGGTTAGATTACATTAGGTTAGATTAGATAAGTAGAGAGATAGATAGGTAAAGCATGGTAAAGCCACAAAAGCCACAAAAGCCAGGCTAGAAAACAAAAAAAAAAGGAAAAAAACAACGAAAAAAATAGCCCTCCATTCTATATTCCCCAAAAAATCTCCATAAACCCCCCCCCATCTTTGCAACGCTCCAAGGTGCCGGGCTGGTTCCGGCTGAGAGCCCTGGGAAACGCGGCGCCCGTGGCGCCTTGGGTGGCAGGGGCTGATCGAAGTCGCCCTCGCCGTCCAAGGCGTCCATCAGAACGGCGTCGTCGCGCGTGTTGCCGCGGCTCGGCAGGTCGTCCTCGTCGAAGATCGCTTCGTCGCCGTTGCCTTGGGAGATCTTGGGACAGTGAAAAATTCATGGCTTTTGAAGGCTTGAAGACGGCAAACATGTGGGAAAACAACAAGGAAAACCACGTTTTTGTTGGAAAACAATGGAAAAATATGGGAAAGATGAAAATAGGTGATTGAAATTTGATGTACTTAATTGTACTTATGTTATCTAAGTGTGCCAAGCCACTGGTAGGTTTTTGCTGATCCGATTTGAAATTTGAGGACTGCCAGCCATAGCCAGAATTATAAAAACAATCCGAGAGGAATTAAGCCTAATATATATATATATTAATATATTATATATATGTGGATCCCTTTTCGATCATCTCATGAAATCACATGTGATTAAACTATATAAGCAAAACGTACATGTGAAGCAAATTGCAGCGCTGTGGAGATGCATCCAATCTACACCCGCCCCAATCATGGACTCAGGTCCTAGTTAAAAAGTAATGCACATTTGATAATGAAAGTTGATCCGAGATGTAGTTGGCCCATCCCATGTTTTGTCAGAATCACCCGAATTCACATTCGGACATGCTGGAAACTATCTCTATTGCGGGTTCCTGAATTTCACGATCTTGCTTTCACTTCAAGACGCCCAACTCTATCTCACTAGGTTTGGAGTGGACCACATCTGCCAGGTTAGGCGAGAAGTTCGTCATGGCAGCTGGAGACCAACGAGAGGCTTAGAGAGACCAACTTGAAGTATGTGACTATGTCATTCCATATCTTATTCCACCTGATTCCTGAGGCTATGTGCATTTTGACCAGTTTTTCCTGACCCATGAGAATTGACTGTTCCATTGGGTGGGGATGGGCATTCTGGGCTAAATATGGCCGCGTCCCCAGGGCATCGAATTGGAAGGCCGTGTCTCTTCATCTGTCGATGAAAAATCCTGGCAAGCCATGGGTCCTTTGTGCCATAGTTTGTGCCAGTGTCTCAAAGCTTCTACGAAAACTGAGCCAGAGGGCAGCGGTTTTCGTCGCATTCAAAGAATGAGGTGGGATCCTTGAAATCTGTGAAATATGTTGTGAAATTTGGGGCCAAATTCCACTTTCCCAATTAAATGCCCACATTTCATGTCCATTCAACATCCCATATTTCACCGGGGCCAAATGGGATGGGACGCGACTCACACCATTGGCTCGAGCCACACCTTGAAATCCAGGGAGTGCGTCTCATCCACATCAACCTGTCAGGGATTTTTACGTGACATCACCTGAGAATGGCATCCTTTTTTGGCCGGATGAAGGAAGAATTAAACATGGTCCATGTGGTTCTTTGATATCATAGTCATATAAATATAAGTCATATATTATAAAATATGTTGACATTGTATCTGATGGTCTGCTAGAATATATGCCCGCCAAAAAATGAAGATTGGAAGGATGATCGCCAAATTCAGCGAGAATCTCATGCCATTTCTCTCAGGGCCCGGATGTGACGGAACTGTCATCATGGGGATAATCCACCTTCATGCCATCTAGGACCACCCAGTCACTATGGCAATATATGATCATAATGGTTTTGGCTCAAAACCTTGGTGCCCAAATGGTACTCTACAATAGCTTGTTCAGAAATGGTGACCCCCCCAAATATGGGAGTAATGGGTTTTGACCCATCCCCATATATATATATACCTATATATATATAACTATATTTTGACAATGTACATAATCAACCTATGACCCTCCATGGATGTACGAAGTCACTCAAAGTCATGGGATTCAAGGCGACCTTGGCCACCAACTGCTGGGTCTTGCGCAAGCTGTTGGTACGACCACTGGCTCGCAGAATGTCCATAATCCTCACTGGCCCCGGCATCAACGAACAGGGGGTGGAATTGGGAATCCCGGCGTGTGATCAAAGGGGTTTTCCAGAGAAAGGCTATGACGGCTGAAAATTTCCCGGGCAAAGTTTCGAGGCCAAAAGACTTGGTGCGTTGAGGGCAGAAACTCACATCTTGCAGCCGAAAGACTGCATGGTTGAAATCTCTCCATCCGTGCTAGCGTGCCTGCAGCAGGAACACGAGTGTTGGCAACACACATGTTGTGTAATGCTTTCCAACAATGTAACACAGAACTCGAACTTGCGAACACACACTGGATTGAAATGGATTGAAATGGCACATCCATCTCACCCATTCTGCGGGAAAGACTATTGAGATCTGTACACCTTTTTTATCATGTTTTGTTATCCATCCAGTCACTCCAGTCTTCCAAAATTGCGTTCCGCCGTTCATCGCCTCTTGAAGATGGTCAGGAGCTCAGCAGCCTCCTCCCTCGTGAAGCCATCCCATCGCTTGAAATACTCCATCAAATCCAGGTACCTAACGCCACAAAAAGAATCGAAAAGAGGCACCTGTCAGCTGGGATTGCCCTCAGATCCCTCAGCCGAAAAACTTCGGAACTTTAGAAAAAAAATGGAAAAAACCTGGGCCAATAGAATCCAATCCATGCCAATCCTCACCCATCATCGTTGCTAATCTGAGATGCCCCACAAAAACAATATGTCATATAGAGTAGCTGTGGATCATACATTCCCGTTGGTGTTCATTCATAGAAGGGAAGCACATAATTTCTACCAACAATTGACAGTTCACCCATTTTCACCCGTCATCGGATTTTGATCGCAGGTAACCCCCAGATCAAAATACGATATCCCTACCATAGTTTGATTCCTTAAAAGTCGCCCCCTCATTTTTGTACATCCACCAGCGCTCTTCCATGCTACAGAAAACCATGGTTCTTCCCATAATGAAATACAGAGATGTGCTTTCCTTGGGTACATACCTCAAATTCTGTTCGTAAATCACAATTTGTCCTTTGAACATCTCTATTTGGAGGGTATATGGTTTAATATCCCGTTACATCAAATGGACGTAGAATGGTATCCCTTATGCGTTCCCCAAAATAAGCCATGATAAACATTATACAGTAAACCAATTCTTGTTGGTTTCCCATGCATTCCGGCATAGGTCCCCGTCCAATTGCACTTTCCAAGCTGCTCTTCAAGATTCACTGTGCCATCACCATCCGCATCGACGGAGCGAAAGAGGTCTTGGATGTTCGACCGCAAGGGCCTCCGGTGTTGCAAAACATGACGGGCCGCTGGGAAATCTCCAAACTCAATGGGTTTATGGCTGGGAAATGATCGAACTAAATGGAAGATTTTCCGGCAAGCCATGTTTGATGACATCTGAGGCTACTCTTATATAATTTATTTATCTATTTATTTATTTAACTGCATGTTTGTTATTTCTTTGGGTGTGGCAAATCTATTAAAATCTTCATGAAGAAACCTGGCCAGCTGGAAAATCACCATTTTTTGATTCAAAATTTGAAAAACTATGTCAGCTATGTGCCCATTGAATATCGAGATGGCTGGTAGGTCAACAAGTGTGGTCTTTGGAGACCCCGTGGTACCCAGTGAGATACCTTCCTGGAGCTCATTTAACATGCTTTTTATCTCTTCCTATGATATCTGTGGTTGACACAGCCCCAAAACATTGAAAAACATCGGTGTAATAATATTCTCTCCCCATCCAAAATTGAAGCTATTCGTATTGCTGTTTGCCAGCATTAAATCCTAATTATTCACCGGGGGGATTGGGGCGTCTCTCCTGTTGGCCTAACCCTGCTTCAGCGATGCAGCAAAGCAACATATATCCCATCTCTTTGAGGACTTGCTTCACCTCCGACCGATCCAACACTCCATCTTGGCTCTGATCGAAGCGCTTAAACCTCGAGCAACCAATGGGTGGCCTGGACAAAGTTCATCATTTTCATCCAATTTCCTCTCATTCTCAATATCATGGAAGTGACCTGGCGAAATAAAAGATAAACAAGCAACCCAGCACCAACACAATCAACATAATCAACATATATGAATCATATGTTATGTATAAAATAGTAATGGGGGGGAATGACGTATATATATATATATACATCGGTTTGTTTGGAGTGCCATGGATCTCAAGAGAGTAAACCGGCTGAAGGATGATCAGGATCCTTTAGATTCATCGTTGGATGATGCAACACGTCCACCTGATGTTCCCAACCTCCTGAGAGGGGCTGGATGGGGGAAGCATCTAACGTGCCCAAACCATCACATCCAATTTCAATAGAGGATAATCATGCCCAAAACAGCGGCAAGAAACTACACATAATTTGTGGTTTAGTCATAGTCGTCAATAAAAGTCTATCTATCTATCTGTCTGTCTGTCTATCTGTCTGTCTGTCTATCTGTCTATCGGTCTGTCTATCTGTCTGTCTATCTATCTATCTATCTATCTGTTAAAAAACAATATATATATATATAAAAATACGACCAATAATAGGTCAACAAAATACACAATTTTGAGTAAATCCCAAGAACGAAAGAAAACATCAGTCACAGGTATTCACAGGTGAAACCATCCGTCACTAGCGGATGAGAAGCACCACCCCACAACCTCCGGCAAGAAGTAGCAAGCAACTGCCGCACGTATTCATTGATCTCCGCTTCCTCCATGTGGCTACAAAAAGGTGGCACCAACTAGCCCAGAAAATAACATGTACGCACAAACATTGCAAATCCCAAAGCAAATGCTAAAAAGGTTCAAATTACTACTTACCACTGTTTCAGTCGGATGTTGCAATTTTCTGTGTTTTTTCCTCCCTTTAAGCATTATAGATTTTGGGGCCGAAAATCTTGAGCTTTAACCACGTTTGTAGGGCCTGACCATGGCAACAAAAAAAACACACACACATATATATATATTATATCGAGGTGAAGCAGTACGCAGGACCCCAAGAAACGGTTCATTGAACCCGGAATGGACAAAAAAAAACTTCAAAAACCATCAAGCACCTATTATATAGACACTAAATTCGGATATATTTGGGATGACCACCTTTGCTACTTTGATGTCCGGGGATCCCTTGGGGCTTAACCGGCTTAACCTATTGACACATCTGCTCCCCTGCCTTCATCCGCCGAGACCATGTCACAAACCTGGTGAAAGTGATGATCACCCCATGGAATGCCGATTTTGGGATACCCAATGGCCATTTCAGGTACCTAAATTGGAGGTACCTACCATACATAAGGCCTATGTTGTTGTGCTATGTAAGGGGACACACCCCCAAAGTATGGCTCTATATTACAGTACCTCTATTTTGGGATCCTGAAATTCCCATTGATACCCATGGATATGGAATCATATGGATACCATTGGATACCTCATTTTTGGGACAAACCCAGGTACTGTAAATAATGGTAAAAGATTAATCTAGATGGTATAAGATGGTATAAGCAAACATGCCAACTGGGAAATCCGGGATGAAGACATGTCCACTGCCGTGGTGGCCATCGTGCCCAGTGGCTGTCGAAAGGTTAAGCCTGCAGGACCTTCGTTTTTTGCCACGGTCCTTGGGACGGCGTTGTGGGAACCCCCGCTTCGGGGCGCTGGCTTGTAACTTACAATGGTTTCGAAGAATCTGGGGTGTAATTAGTAAACCCAAAAAATAGAAAAGTGCAGAAACGTAATCTTAGTTTGCTTATGGGGATGGTCAGGAAAGTATGTTTGTTTTCTTTGTCACATGATACCTTACGCAAAGTGACACCTATATGCACCTACAAGATTTCCCTGTAAGCACTTCAAGGATAGTAAAGATGCCTGGGCAAGCGGCACACGATCTGCAAGTGTCTTCGGGACGATGAAAAATTGCTGGAATTCCTTGAAATTCCTTAAGTGCAGGCATCACCCCTCTTTGGAAATGAATGAAACAACACCAGCCCCAGCGTCGAAGACGCCATCATCCACAGCGACTTGCCGCGGCGCCTGGCAGGTGCGTGCTGTACGACGAAACACAAGATGATCCCAATAGATGGGAGAATCCAATAGGGATGCAGATATTTTTTACATAATCAATATTTTGAATTGATTATATATATATAAGTTCATTACAGTTCATGGTTTCATTCGAAACACCTAAATAATTTTGGATCACCATCCAAGGTAAGGGCGAAACAAAACATGAAGCAACAAAAATCGAGAGGTCTTGGGTCAAGGACTGAAGTTTCGTGACCACACAGGCCCTATCTCTGTGACTGTGGGGTTGGTTTCAGGAAACATGGAAGATTCTGCGGAAAATCATGCATGTTATTCATGTTTCATCATGGTCCCTAGGAATGTTAACACTTATTGCAGGAAACAATGCTATCAATATCTATCAATATTATCTTACGTTACTCTATGCCAACATCATGCTACTATGCCATTACTATACCATTACTATAACGTAACATCACTATGCCATTAGTATACCATTATAGTCAATGTGGGGATTTTTTCCCAATTTTTCCGCCGAAAATCGGCCATCCCTGCCCGCTGAGCAGCCCTGACATGATCCGCTGATCTTGTTTGGCCAATTGCCTGGCTGGGTGGCTTCATGCTAAACCGTTCCTACTTAATGAATATTTCAATAGATTTCACTCATATCATCATATCTTGTTGATGATATTGATCATGTTATATCATGTTCATGCGTAAAATTCCGAATTGACTCAAGGTGGGTTTCGGTGTTTTTCACAAATCAAATTGTTTTCCCATCCTAAATATCTTCTCCAAGATTTTGGATCCAGCGGGCTGAAACATCACAAAGCAAGCAGGAGATGTGTTGAATTTATCCCAACCAGGTCCGACTTGTCAAATGTTAGCAGTGTCAAGTGGAACGTCAGTCTTTGAAGCGCAAACTGAGCCACAAAGCCCAATTGGGCATGCTCCGATCTGGATAAAATCCAATAATTCACATTGTATAACCTTTTTTCGATCCTAAAAGTTCGGCCATTCAGAGATAGTTTGTTGTCCCAATCCAAGCCCCATCACAGTGACTTGTTCATTTTGGCCTCTGCAATAGCGTTTTTCTCAATAAATGGTGCTGGCGCTGGCTGCCAGTCATAAGCGCACCCTAGTTTTACGGCGCAAGACTGTCGCTGTAGGAATGTACGGACTCATGGCATGAATGGGTCAGCGTCACCATGAAAAAAACGATGAAAACTGGCAGTTTTTATGGCTCTCCCCCTCTGAAACTGGGCAAAAAAAAAGGGACCAGGCCTGGCCAAGTCGGCGGCTTGCGCTCCGAACTCGAAAATCAAGGCATTGGACAAACGATAGTGAGGCACCTGATGGGCTGAAACCCAAACATTTAGAAATGGTGATTTGATGGTAGTGATATACAATAATGGAATGGAATATTGTTTAAAGTATATTAGATAATACCAAATCCAAACATGTTTTGGACCCAAAAGAACCCTCAGAAAAAATCAAATCTGGCGGAAAATCCACCATTGATTTTTGGATCGTTTTCCCATGTGTTGCCATTAAAACCTCCATTGATAAAGGATTTCCCGTTCCCATGTCATGATGGATTACCATGGAACCCCAAAAAAAGTAAGCTATGGAACATCATTTTCCGGACCATATATATATAAGATATATATATATATAATGTATAAATAAATAAAAATCTTAATATATATATATATATATATACTCTGGCATGATATGGCCATTATTGGGTTCCATGTTCATTTTGGAGGGTGAAGGGTATACTGCTGGTGGCCGGTTTTTAAAACCGGATCTGGTCGGGTAACTCCTAGTAGTTCCAACTGGCTCTCTATTTTTCTAGGGAACATAGAAAAATAGAACACCATAGCTCCTTAGCTCCCTCCTAACCACTGGATAGTTTATATTGGAATATCTTGTAGGGGGTATCTAACATTCGAATAATATGCCAGGAAGGCGCAAGCTTGAATTTGTAGTTCATGGCCCCGGCAATTCGGAAGGATTTAACGCGATTATTTTCCAGGATAAAAGTGATCTATGCTAGAGTATACGTCTATGCTAAACACTAAACACAGTTTGATTCAATGTGAATCCCTCCAAACATAGTATCATGATGGTACCAATCGGTGTTACATGTTTTGGTTCCCAATTTCTCACCAGCTCCAGCGGCCCCAGCGCCACCTTCTTGACATTGTTTGCATCTGCCATAGCGAAGCGACAAAAGCTACGGTGCATCTGTCGAATCTCCTGGAAGATTTTAAGGGCAACATAGGGCAATGAGGGCGTGAAGAAAACGTTCAAGAAATCTTTGCAGGGCAAAATTTGTTCGTTTGACCAAGTTCCACAAAGTTCCATTGTTTACAGGCGTGTTTGTCCGCACCAGTCACAGATTTGTGCTGATTCGTGTCACTAAATTGTGTCTATACTTTGCCTGATTTGCCCAGCCTTCAGGTATACATACTGTCATCCCCCCATTTCTACGGGGTGGACACAGAGGATTTTCGATTCTCAATTTCCAGACATAAGATATCAGATCAGAATTTCGACAAGCCAGCAAGTGCATCCAGGGCTCTAATGAAGATTGGCATGAAAGCAATTTCCTCATATGTCCTCTATATTCTTGTTCCACCAGCCAGTGTATCCCAATCTTAGGATCGAGATCGCGCATGGTCAGACTATATATCATGGACGCTGGGTTGATATAGTAGACTCAGTAGACTCAGTAGACCCTTGTCTGGTCTGGAAACTACTATACTACTATACCAAACATTGTGAAACACACAGTAACACATACATACACTTGTATGAAACCGCCAATATTCTCATTTCATTACTTGGGATTCGGCTCCCATATTGGATTCTCTTGAACAGAAGCAAGAAATTGGCCTGTTCAAGCTCTCCTTGTGACTAAAGCCATCGGTCTGGCGGTAGACCAAGAGCAACGAGAGAAACTCATTGAAGTCCAAGGTGCCTATGGCGTAATGAAGCAGGGGGCCAGTCACGGTTGGGTGAGCCATTTGTGAAGACCCGCCAGCAATTCACTTGATAAGTTGGGGGTTGGTTGCTACCAGCCAGCCATTGCAAACGAGTTATCACACCGAATTTTGACACCTCAATGCACAAAACATGTGCACCCAACAATTTGGTTCATCTCTGGAGATGACCCAAGCCACATACCCTCTGGTAATTTAACGTAGCTATTGAACATGACCCATGTATAGTGGATTTTCCCACTAAAAATGGTGATTTACACCATTTTCAATAGCTATGTTAAATTACCAGAGGGTATGTACCAAAAACCATCAAATCTCCAACACCTATGGCTTGGCCCATTGACCCACCATGACCATGCCTGAGCCATTGGCGTCAACCGCATCGATGAGCCTCTGGAGAGTCCCCTTGAAGGGTGAGCATCCCATGGCCTGGCGTCCATTTCAACACAATTGGTGGAGAAATCAGAAAAACGAATATCCAGAAGAAACATATTCATTCAGATTCATTCAGAATATCATCATTCACCAAACAGAAAAATATCTGGATATTCGGTGTGTGTGTGTGTGTTCTTTTCTGCCATAATTGCTACCGCAATCCTAACCGCCTATGAAGGTTCCATGTGCTAAAAAGCCTATTGCCCCGCCTCCAAGACCGCCTGCACCTCACTGGTGGACAGTTCCCCGGATGCATCGGCATCAAAGTCGTGAAACGACTTCCTGCATGGAATCCATGTGATGGAGATAGATTTCCCATTAGGGGAAGGATTGACTGGTCGTCTATTTGGCATATTTTGTGTATTATAAAAAAATATACTGTACATGTTGTTTTGTGATTTTACGAGCCCCCAACAGTGGGGGCGTCAACTTCCGTACCCTTAGCATGGCGAGAAACCCATGACGGAAATGTTTAAAGGTGTTCCCAGAAGTAGGGGGATACTCCGAAATGGCAATGTCAATGGAGAAAACAACTATCAGTGTTAAGATTCTGGACATCATGAGAATGCAAAATCAATGGACGTGTTTTTTTGGGCTAATTGTTTATACCTAAGAGCACATTTAGGATAAACCCCGGCATCACCCAATCAACACGTCTAACTATGGTATTTTCGATGGTGCACTTGAATGCTCAAACTGGGTCGGACAAAGACTGCTTGGGTTCAATGCCTGGCCGTACCCCACGCTGAACGCTAGGACTTTTTTGCGACCCCGCTCAAACCCGTTGGATTGTCGAGGGTGCATAAGCTATGGTGACTACCTGAGCTGCAACTCAAGGACGGGCACAGCAGAAGTCACTGGGTCAAGTTGCAATAATATTCTGAAATCAGCTGCTATGCCTCAGACATGTAAAAATCATCGTTACCCTCCCTCCAACTAGCATAGATCCGGTCAAATGGGGGTTGGAAGACTACTTTTTCTTTCCGGATGGGTGATTCTCAGGGAGAATCTATGTTGCCCGGACATGGTCAAGTTGCCATGAGCAGTATAAAAACCAAACAATTTAGTTTCAAGTAGAAAAATAGGCATGTGTCAAAACTCCTGGGCCTGGTGCAAATAAACATAGGCAAAGGTATGCCCGTCATGGAAAAACCCTGGTTTTTCAAGCTATTGACCATCCCTCGCATATTCCCAGAAAATACATCAAAAACTCGTGGCAAGTTGCAGTGTTGAAAAGACATTCTCATCCACTCCTTTGGCCTGCGACTCCATCGGCTCAACTTCCAAGATTGGATCGCTGCTGGCAGGTCCAAGGGGTGCGAGGCTAAGGCCAAGGGCACCTGAATCTGACTTGCGGGCCCGGCGCGCGGCCAGACTGCTGGAGGGAAGACCTCCGCAAAAAACGGCCGAAGACGGCCACGGGGAGTAAGCCCATGTCTTGGGATTGGGAGTTACCCCCTGGATCCCCCTGGTAATTTAACATAGCTATTGAAAATGGCCATTTATAGTTGATTTTCCCATTAAAAATTGTGATTTGCCATAGTTATGTTAGTTTACCAGAGGGTAGCAACCCAAAAAACTATGGCCTTATTTAGTGGTGATTAGTAGGGAGAGCGTGACCTTTCGCGGATACTCATGGGCCACATGGGTTTCCATGACAGTGACTGGATGACTGGTTGACCCCCAACTTCCATTCTCCCAATATTACACACCCCGAGGTCCGAGGTCCAAAAATACTGAACAAGGGTTTTTTCCGGACTGTATTCAATATTTTCCGAGGAAGATGGGGGCATGGAAAAAAACATTGCACTAACATCCACTAACCCTCATCATTGATAAGATATTGCAGGTCATACTACCCTCTGGTAAACTAACATAACTATGGCAAATCACCATTGTTAATGTGTAAATTTACTATAAATGGCCACTTTCAATAGCTATGTTAGTTTACCAAAGGGTATCCACTATCTTCTGGATGATCAGAACGTCCCTGCCTGGAGATCCCCATTCACCAAACAAATCCCCCCTTTTGGTGATCTTCCGCTGACAAATTCGTCCCGTCAAAATGAACCAGGTATTGAAGTGCATCCGTCGAAATGCATGAAACATTCAAACACGCGCACATATTATGTATATGTATTGATGTAATGTAATGTAACGTAATGCAATGTAATGTAATGTAATGTAGTGCAATGTAATGCAATGTAATGTAGTGCAATGTAATGCAATGTAATGTATATAATGTAATGTATGTATGTATGCATGTATGTATGTGTGTAACTATGATAATGTACATAATGCATATAATTACACATGCACGTGATTCCACATGTCTGTCACAGCATCCACATCATCTGCTGTCTACATCATAAGTCATAAATCTAGGCCACATGCAACAAAATCATTCTTAACACTTACACTGTAGCCTTATGTAGCCCTAACCCTCCAGCATCCTTAGTGAAAAAGACTCTGACAAGGCGCTCAATTCAACTTCTTTGAAGGTTTTCACATTCATCCGTGGCAACGATGGCGCCACGGATGGCGTCGATCTGCCAGATTTGCCACTGACCGCTGATCTGGGTGAGCTGGGAATCCTAAGCCATGATTCCGCGGTGAACGCAGCATCTTCACCCTTTCCGTTCTCAGATGCTCTTTATTGCTATCCCGCAGATTTTGGGTCAAATTTGTTAATGATAGGCCAAACAAACCAATTAACCAGTTCCAGTACCCTGTTACCTGCACGATTTCTATTCAACACCAAAAAATGCAAAGTAAAATATGATTAAATCTAATAATTTGACTTTTCTATCTCTTTGGTTCCAAAAGATGTGATATGATGTGCATGATTCAATGATATCTTCTTCGGATGTTTTGTTGTTTTTGTTTCCCTTTGCAGCTGGGTATCATGGAGGGATCTTGATACATGGCCAGTGAGCTGGTGGTTTGGCAATCGATGCTGTCGGCACTTTCGGATATGGCCTGGTCGCCGTCGCCAAACTCTTCGGGAGGAGGTAACACACCCAGCAGCCGCACCATGTCCTGGGGCTATCTCGGGCGGGATGCCAACCAATGATGTATAGTATACAAAAAACAGGTGTCTATACATTTACGCGTTTATTTCTCATTAAATCATAATTATATTTATCTATATTCATTATTTGCCTATCTATCTATTTATTATTATTTATTTACAATTATTTACATGCATTAAAAATAGCAAGTCAACTATGAGCAAATGGTCATACTTCAAGCCGACCAGTCCTGATAACTTCGTCCAAGGGATTCCTGGAATTGGTGCACCTGTTGAAGCACTTGTGGTACTCTGGTTGAGGTGCTCACCGTGCGCACGCCTTCCAACCACACGTCCCAGTACTTCCTGGGCCACTGATGCTTTGAGGCAACTCCAAGAATAGATAAATTATGCCCATATGTATGCATAAACAAATATGTATATATATATATACATATAAATTCAACTATGTATCTATGTATCTATGTATCTATGTATGTATGTATGTATGTATGTATCTATCTATCTATCTATCTATCTATGTACCTATGTATCTATGTATCTATGTATCTATGTATCTATGTATCTATGTATCTATGTATGTATGTATGCATGCATGCATGCATGCATGCATGTATGTATGTGCGTATGAATGTATGTATGTATGTATGCCTGCATGTATGTATGTATGTATCTATCTATCTATCTATCTATCTATGTATCTATGTATCTATGTATCTATGTATCTATGTATCTATGTATCTATATATCTATGTATCTATGTATCTATGTATGTATGTATGCATGCATGCATGCATGCATGTATGTATGTGCGTATGAATGTATGTATGTATGTATGTATGTATGTATGTATGTATGTATGCCTGCATGTATGTATGTATGTATGTATGTATGGTAATGTAATGTAATGCAATGAAATGAAATGTAATGAAATGCAATGTAATGCTATGTATGTATGCATGTATGCATGTATGTGGGTATGAATGTATGTATGTATGTACGTACGTATGTATGTATGTATGTATATATGTATGTATGTATGTATGTATGTATGTATGTATGTATGTATGTATGTATGTATGTATGTATGTATGTATGTATGTATGCATGCATCTATAGATCTATGCATCTATGCATCTATCTATCTATCTATCTACCTACCTATCTATCTATCTATCTGTCTGTCTATCTATCTATGTATGTATGTATGTATGTAGTAGGTAGGTAGGTATGTAGGTATGTAGGTATGTAGGTATGTAGGTATGTAGGTATGTAGGTATGTATGTATGTATGCATGCAAGTATGTATGTATGTGTTTATGTTTTTGTTTATGTTTATGTTTATATTTATATATATATATCATATGATATCACTTGGGGCTTTGCGCCCCAAATAAGGTTGGACAATAAGACTACCTGACATGGTTCCCAACATACTTCGAATTAAGCCATGCACAAAATGTTTCATGCTGATGAACATTCATGGTGATTGGCAGAGCTGGATTTTATGAACGTCCAGACATGACATTCCCCCAAAGAACGATCAACCCAAAGTTTCTAGCCTGGCCTTGCCCAAGTGGACTGAACTTGCAGCAGAACTCCACTTGCTCACACACCAAAAAAAAACAAACACAACTCCATGGCAGTACTCAAATCCAAGCTTCAACCTGGCCTGTTGCATCAATTCATTCCCCTCCTGCAGTTGGCTCTGCTGATCTGTTTCCACTTCCCTCTTCGATATTTTTGGCAAATGAAAGGAAGAACTTTTGGAGTTCACGGCTTCTTTGGACCCCATCATCGCTGACATGCCCTGCATTTCCTCGGAGCTGTTGAGGGAGCCGGCCATGGCTAGGACGCCTTAAAGGTGTATGGGATGTCGGTAACCACCCTCCCTTTGAAACACCTGGGATAATTATATCAAAGCTATTTGATCTACCCTTTCAATGGTTAATGGCCTCCATTAAAATAATTAAATCAGAATTTATTCGTGATTTTTCCATATATGTTTCCATTCAACATACAGACTTTCATAGATTGTCTGCCATCTTTAAGTATCCCAAAGGTAAATTCCATGGAACGCCGAGGGTGCCGCGGTACCCGACCCTACCCTGGACCTTGGGGTCTCAACGTGGTACCCCACTCTGGATTTTCATGAAAATCAACAACGAATGTGGGTCAAAATTTCGTAAGTCAGATGTGTTTCTCCAAATGGACAGGTTCATCTGTAGCCTCCCTGGGTCTTACCACCCATAAAAATCAACAGAAAACCCAAACAATCGGATGAAAAGGAAGATTGCTGTCCTGATCTGGATATGACATGATTATGGCAGCTTTGGGCATCCAGTGCAAATTTATTCAGGGGGTCCGTGAAATTGCCTAGAACCCACTAAAAGCTTACATAATATATTTATATAAACATCATGATATTCCATGACTGGGCCAACCTAAGGTGATCATATATGATTATGGTATATTATGGTTACCCATTTGCCAACTGGAATATAGCAGCTAGAGCCCACTACGCTCCCAGCCCCATCCCTCAACGTCCAGCTGTCTGCGATATCGCCTCGCCCCGCCCGATGGCACACCGCCAACACAGCCGCGGCGTAGTCGACGCTCAAAACGCGTCGGGACGCTGTGGCGGGCAGAATGGTGGCACAGACCTGTGCTTGAAGGATGATCAACAAGGATAGATCTGGGGATCTGGGTTTGTCATGGTTTGTCAAAACCTGGGATATGTATATATATATATATATGTGATTCTATATGGGTGGACCTCATCATCGATCATAATGGTAAATGAGTATATGCTCTAAATGAATCCAAATGGCAATGTGAATGGGGGAACATGACAATGAACCATGACATGTTTGTTCTTTTCAGGGGAAATTATAATGACCCATTGGAATTAGGGCTACCATATCTTAATGTATCTTCAAATAAACCCATCAAATGTCAGCAATCATAAACCACCGATGCACAGGATACCCAGGATTTAGCTGCCAGCATGTCATTATGGATCCCTTGAGAAAGTCCTGGCTTCAGCATATTCAAAAAACAACTGCAGAAATATGTGTTTTTGTGGACGAAAATGAGTACATCTACCACTACACCAGGCTTCTTGGGAGACCAGGATTTGTACATTTTCACGATTGCCAGGACAGACTACCACAGGTGAGTCATCCCAATCATGGAACTTTCACATCTTTCACAAGGGGTCTATGAAGCTAAGTGGAACCAAGTACTGCACACAACAGCCTAACAACCGTAGGGTTTTGCAAGCAAAACCATCCCGCGCAAATTTTGTTGTAATTTCGCTAATATCTCTGGATGCTTGAAGGTAGGAGTCCAAACCCTGGTACCTTCGTCATCAAACACAACTAGATGTTCAACCTCCCCTCGGTTAGTACGTTTCCATCGGTATTGATCCATCTCCATTTGCAGACACTTATCAAGTCAATCAGCCTTCAATAGGCGCTAATTATATAATTATATATATATATATACAAGAGGGTCGTAGTCGTTCTCCCCAAAACAGCTTGAAATGTCCGGAACAAATAAGGATAGGTCATGATAGGTCCCAGGTCATCCATGTCCATCCATCTCCGCACCTGCACCATGTGCCCATGCGTGACCAATAAGCAGCTCTTCTTGGTATGTCTGGCGCGGCGCAAATACCTCGAGGTCTCGAGGTATTGGCACCGGTGGCCCAAACTGAAGCCAATTCTGAACATGTTTTTTTCGTCTTGGTGGATGATTCAATTCAAAACCCCACAGCATCATCGCACAAATCCAAGAATAAAGGTATACCATTTCGCATCTGGATCACCGATTAGCATCTGGATTCCCATTTTGGATTTGATCTCATATTGAAGAGATCCTGCACCAGTTGGTAGATGGTCTATCCCATTACAACCCAGAAGCAATCCACAGTACTAAAAGGGTATCCCCCAGGAAGATGCACTTAGTTTTCCAACAAATCATCTAGACAGATCTGAGTAATGAAGTATAAACACATATTTTTCAATTAGTTAGGATAAGACCCCTATGGCCATCTCTGATGACCATATAAAAGAAAACAATGTATTATATAACAATTGGTTGAGATGACCCATGATGTTACTCACTGATTTGCTGGTTACGCTTAATTACACATGATTACAGTATCGAAATTAAAACAATACGTATCACCGTGGTTCCCATCAAACTGTATCTGAAGGTTGCCCAACCAAATATTATATTTCACAGAATTTCCCACAATGGTGGGTTGGATTACACAATGACAGCGCAATCCCTCCACCTGAACATTAGACACATCCCAGAATTGATGGTTTAGTAGGATACTATATATATAAAAAATTGAGAGCTTACAATGGGAGTGTTTACTGGGTGTTTACTGTGAAGGGCTGATAGGATGAATCTGACTGATGGGTCAAAAATTGGGTACCCCAACAATGAATTGGAAGGTGAATACCTAAAATCTACAATCCAATCTGTGGCCTCCCAGGTCTGTAAAAAACTGCCCTCCAATAGCCAAGTTAAAAACAAACACTAACTCCAGACCAAACAGAAAGAAACCAAGGTTTTGAACACTCGGTTGATCATGTTCCATGAATCACCATGAAACCCACCGTCATGTCATGTCATTTCCATCATTTTGGCGCCATCTGTCGCGACAAGAAACTCCAAAAAGCGGTTGGCATAGCGCAAGCGCGCCCGCTGAGAGGACTCAGGCCACTGAGGTGCTTTGCCCATGAAGCGACCCGCCTTCAAACCTGGTGCTTAGGTACCGTTGAACCATCAAACAAAAGGGAATCATCAATCAAAACTGTTGGTTTTTAAGTTTATAACCATGAATATGATTGAATATGGGTTTTACCATCGGAAATGATGATGATGATGATGATGATGATTCAAACCGCCAATTTGCCAACAAGCATGTAGCATAAAAAAAAGGGTTGTCATAATAAGTACCGGTCAGCACACACACACAAACATACACAAACTACAGGGGTTGCCATGGTTGACCTTCGGGTAGTTTCGGATGCGGGGCTTGATCAGCCATGAAAAAGGGATCTGACACCGTCTGACACCAAGAAATGTGGTTTGTTTACCAACATCAACTGGGATCAGCCAACATCAATGGAGCCCTAAAGGCCCTAAAATGCAGGCCCAATCATCCAGCATCCTTTGGGATCAACGGTTCTACATGATTCATTCATATGCAATGGTAGAAAAACAGGGCTTCAAACTGTCCAAAGCTGGATTTTGGGGAATACTACCAGTACATGCTGAAATCGAGGAGGCTAAAGAGGGGTATCAGATTTGATGTTGGGCTGAGATATCAACCAACGACCACTGGTTGATGGTCGTTAATCCACCCGTCTCCCTGGGTGGTTTCCACCATTTGAAGCCACCGTGTCAAATCGAGGTTAGCAACCCCAATCCTACTGAAATAGTGATGAACACAATTTTTTCTGTATCTTTTTGGGGTTCTATATGCCTTGCACAACACTCGCAAACATCAGCCAGGAACGATCTGTGCAGAAATTGGTCTTCAAGGCTGCTGTCACCTGTGGCAATGGTTGGAAATAAATGGAAATATGGAAATATGGCATGAGATGAAGTTTGGGTATCCTATATCTGGAAGGATGTGTGTCATAACTCGCAGTCATGGTTAGCTACTGCATTTTATTGCATGCGGCATTGGGTGTCGCGGTGTCGCCTATGTTTCCCCCATGAAGATTTTTAAAATACCAAATGCTACCAGCGCGAAGACCAGCATTGTGAACTATCCAGTTTCTTTCCATATTTTTCCATTCTTCCAGAATGCACGTTCAAACTGCCCAAAGGAGATTAATGTTTGCGTCTGATTAATGTGAGGGCCCCCCCCCCCTAAACAATTTGAGGATACTCTATAACTCGCACTTTTTTTTGCCCTCCCTCAACATTTTTTTGGTCAATCAACTCAAGAAAGGATTTCAATTTACTTTCAATTGATTTCAATTTACTTTTAATTGATTTCAATTTACTTTTAATTAATTTAATTACTTTTAATTTACTTTTAATTTACTTTCAATTTACTTTCAATTGATTTCAATTTACTTTTAATTTACTTTCAATTGATTTCAATTTACTTTCAATTGATTTCAATTTACTTTTAATTTACTTTCAATTTACTTTCAATTGATTTCAATTTACTTTTAATTTACTTTCAATTTACTTTCAATTTACTTTCAATTGAAATTTACTTTTAATTTACTTTCAATTTACTTTCAATTTACTTTCAATTGATTTCAATTTACTTTTAATTTACTTTCAATTGATTTCAATTTACTTCCAATTTACTTTCAATTTACTTTCAATTTACTTTAATTTACTTTTAATTTACTTTCAATTTACTTTCAATTGATTTCAATTTACTTTTAATTTACTTTCAATTGATTTCAATTTTTTTTCACTCCCAAAAGTTGGTGCTCACAATAGAGTACCATCCAAACAATTATATTATTGAGTAACTGAGCCAATCATGAGGTATCCCCTTGAAAAATTGTCTCGGTGCTGTTTTTTAATAAGGGTTTAATAAGGCATCTAATTATTTGGAAAACCTTGCATTTTAAAGCTTTAACACAAACATGGCTTTCTAAAGTAAAGGCACCAGCTTTACCCAAAGAAAGGTGGAGAAAGGGTTTTGTTTTTTTTTTCACTCCCAAAAGTTGGTGCTCACAATAGAGTACCATCCAAACAATTATATTATTGAGTAACTGAGCCAATCATGAGGTATCCCCTTGAAAAATTGTCTGGGTGCTGTTTTTTAATAAGGGTTTAATAAGGCATCTAATTATTTGGGAAACCTTGCATTTTAAAGCTTTAACACAAATATGGCTTTCTAAAGTAAAGGACCAGCTTTACCCAAAGAAAGGTGGAGAAAGGGTTTTTTTTTTTTCACTCCCAAAAGTTGGTGCTCACAATAGAGTACCATCCAAACAATTATATTATTGAGTAACTGAGCCAATCATGAGGTACCCCTTGAAAAATTGTCTGGTGCTGTTTTTTAATAAGGGTTTAATAAGGCATCTAATTATTTGGAAAACCTTGCATTTTAAAGTTTAACACAAATATGGCTTTCTAAAGTAAAGGCACCAGCTTTACCCAAAGAAAGGTGGAGAAAGGGTTTTGTTTTTTTTTCACTCCCAAAAGTTGGTGCTCACAATAGAGTACCATCCAAACAATTATATTATTGAGTAACTGAGCCACTCATGAGGTACCCCTTTGAAAAATTGTCTGGGTGCTGTTTTTAATAAGGGTTTAATAAGGCATCTAATTATTTGGAAACCTTGCATTTTAAACTTTTAACACAAATATGGCTTTCTAAAGTAAAGGACAAGCTTTACCCAAAGAAAGGTGGAGAAAGGGTTTTGCTTTTTTTTTTCACTCCCAAAAGTTGGTGCTCACAATAGAGTACCATCCAAACAATTATATTATTGAGTAACTGAGCCACTCATGAGGTACCCCTTGAAAAATTGTCTGGTGCTGTTTTTTAATAAGGGTTTAATAAGGCATCTAATTATTTGGAAAACCTTGCATTTTAAAGCTTTACACAAATATGGCTTTCTAAAGTAAAGGCACCAGCTTTACCCAAAGAAAGGTGGAGAAAGGGTTTTGTTTTTTTTTTTCACTCCAAAAGTTGGTGCTCACAATAGAGTACCATCCAAACAATTATATTATTGAGTAACTGAGCCAATCATGAGGTATCCCCTTGAAAAATTGTCTGGGTGCTGTTTTTTAATAAGGGTTTAATAAGGCATCTAATTATTTGGAAAACCTTGCATTTTAAAGCTTTAACACAAATATGGCTTTCTAAAGTAAAGGCACCAGCTTTACCCAAAGAAAGGTGGAGAAAGGGTTTTGTTTTTTTTTCACTCCCAAAAGTTGGTGCTCACAATAGAGTACCATCCAAACAATTATATTATTGAGTAACTGAGCCAATCATGAGGTATCCCCTTGAAAAATTGTCTGGGTGCTGTTTTTTAATAAGGGTTTAATAAGGCATCTATTTTTTTTGAATAAGTATTTGGAAACAATAATTTAAAGTATTTGGAAAAAAATTAAACACAAACCAAAAAAATAATAAAAAAATAAAAATAAATTTAAAGTAATTATTTGGAAAAAAAATGAAAAAAATCTGGGAAAAAACGCTCACAATAGAGTTCCCCCCCAACAATTAGCATGTGACTGAATAAGGAGCAAAAAAAATCTCACAATAGGGTACCATCTCTTTAATCACTCCCAAACATTATATTGATACTTTATCTGGTAGCGGCTTCAACCCATCGCAAAAATGTGTTCGTCATTCTGGATCATGAAAAAAATCTAGTCTGGAAAAACAAATCAGTTGAATATGGTAGTTTGTTGGGAGTTCCATTACGAGCTGGGGGGTTCTTAAAGAGTAAAACTATGACAGCAACTTTGGAAAATAGATCACTTTCACACCTGTCTTCTACAGCAAGTTCATTATACCACCATGTTTGTGGCTTCAGTCACCATGTGTTCGTGGTTATAGTTGAATTTTTGCCTCATATTTGATAGGACCTAGAAAACTTCTGGCCTTGGTCCAAGGGCGAGGTGGCAAGGGCGGGGCAGTCTCGAAGATTTCCTTGGCCAAAATCAGGTGGTGATGAGTGAAACACAATGTTTTTTTTGTGAATGGAAAAACATGCGAACAAACCTTGCAAACAGGATTTGTACATGGATATAGCTTGCTTAAATTCATTCAATATAAATTGCGATATACATGTGGGTACATCTGGTATTTCCCATTGACATGTTTGATTCTTTGCAAGTAGAGGATATACCCAAGTCTGATGAACGCCGTGGCGTTTAGAAACCGTGATCTACAAACGAATGGGGGCTTTATGGGGCTTGAACCATTGTCATTATATATATATACAATATATATATAAAGAACATATATATATATATAACTGGTTGTGGCGGGTTCAGCACTTACCAGGGCTTTGGCTTGTTGGTTTCGATGGTTTCATCGGGGCACCAGGAATAGATCCAGGACATTGTGGACACATAACCCTACGATATTAACCTTTTCATCTTGTCATCAATATGAACATGAAACTCCGGGCAACAAGAAAACACATTATTATATATATATGTTATACCAAATAAAAACAGTACATTAAAAAACAAAAAAAACATGCGAAGTTCAAACTACTACAGGGGCGGTCTTGCCTCCATATCCTCCAATATCCTTCAGAAAAACATGCCAAAACTGACCAGCTACAGTATTCATCACTTCTCCCAGTTCGTTGTCCACTAACACGTCGGCATCAAAATATTCTGCCAAGACCATGGCGGTCTGCAAGCAACGCAGAAAGGGCGATGTGATAATCACCTGGCAGAGCTTGATCTCAGCCCAGGGCACCGGTCAAAACACATGGCTGTGTCTAAACGTAGCCGACATCAAAAAACACTGGCATATAACGTGGAAACCCAAGGATAAGCTTATCATTGTGGGATGGTTTATGGCATCCATTTATTTTGGGCATGGTTTTGGGTTTACCACATGAATGGCAATGGTTTAGCCTCATTGTCCCCTTTGACTTGCAACTTTAGGGTATGTCGCATCTTTTTTCCAGTGAAAAAGAACTCTGTGGATTCTGACAAGCTTTGGGGTCCACCAATTTGATAAAATGGAAACATATACTGTAATCAAAGCCCTGGGAATCGTGGCCAAGGTTCAAGTGTTGCTGTGCCGTGCCCCGGCTAACAAAACCCCGGAACACCCTGGCCGACAGGTACAAGTTGTACCAGTATCACAACGATATCCCAACATCCAACAGAAACCCATCACCCCCCGACGCTCCCAATGTTGCCTTGAATGCAACCAATCAAAAACGGGGGGTGTCTAGTCTAAGTCTATATGATAAAGAAATATGGGAAAATCCTGTGAATAGTAATCTGTACACATATATATATGTATATATATTTATACACACAATAGCTGAATACTGAGACATAGCCCTTCATCCCCTGTTGATGCTTCCAGCCCCTTTCCGGACATTTAACCAGACGCCTTGAAATCCACATGTTTCGAAGCGAGTTCCTGAGCCAAATAGCTGGTCTGTTGAAAGCCCCGCTCCGTAATGGGCGGATCCCAAGGGAAGGCCGCGGCATCGTCGGAGGTACACCAGGTGTCAAAGGTGCTGGAGGCATCCTAAGGCCCAAAGGTGGCTGCTGTGTGAAAAAGTGTCACGTAATTTCGTACGGTATAGCATGTATACATAATATATACATAATTTATATATAATATGTTAAATACATATTATACAAAGCGCGCATGCGTAATACATAAACAGTATCAGTGCCATTACTGCTGTTTTTGTTTCATTGCTATATTCGTCTGTTTGATGCTAGTAGTGCTCTATTTACCCATTATTAATATCCCACCAAACTATTATACATCCAAAATGGGATGGTTTCAAGTTTGAGTCTTCCCCAATGATGACATGCCAAAAACCCTAGTACCAACTTAGAAACACGTGGAGTGTTTTATGCGCTAGAAGGATCAACCGGTTTTGATAAGCTGCCCCTCTCGGTGTCGCTGGGTTTGGTCAGTGGTAAGCTGGGGCTTGTACACACTCATGAGAGATACCAGTCTTTCAGGCAATTTTGCATCATAGAAGAACGCACAAATGGCTGGTGTATCCTGGTGTGGTGTTGTCTCGAATCATGGTTTTTGTGCGTCCGCTTTTGGCCCATAGACAGCTATACCATCCAGATCTATTCTTTCGGAATAGAAAGGTGCTTGGGGTGGTCTTGGCCACGCGTTTATGCTGGAAATGTTCACGGTATCACGGCATAGTTCATGTTTTGTCCAAATGCCCTCTTTTACAATGCGTAATCCAACGAGGCAACAGAACGTCCCCATAATCAATAGGGCAATATCCGAACAAAGTAGACAATGGTGCACTTCACAGAAAACATCACTTTTTTGGGCACCATTTGCATACACTGCAGCACCCCTTCTTTAACAATCAAGCAGGTGGAAAAATATGCAAGTGGATATGGTTGTCGGTCAAACTCCTGCAATTACCCCTGATGAATAGTGGCGGACATACCAAAGAATGTTAAAACATGTTGGGATGTCCTACCCATTCTGGGGGATAAGGAATGATAAGGACCGGCGAGCTATGGTACAGCCTGTTTTGAACCTAAAAGACTATAAGGCATTTTGACCTACAGTCAAATTGATCAAAAGAATAATCTATGATGCCCGGAAAATGTACGATTTAGAACTAATTTCCCGCTCTCTGAGAGGGGATTTCCGATGCCCAAGCCAAGCTACACCAGCTACACCGCCCAAAACTGAAAACAGGCATCTTAAAACAGGGAAAGAACGGATAAACATGGCTATATCACGCCAGATCCATATCCAAGAGGGAAATGAAATGATATGGTGATATGAATGCTTTTCAGAGCCCATTTCCACCATTTTCCACCTGCCAAGTTCACCACCAAGACACTGCTCGCTCTGCGTGACGCACCACCGCCACCGCCACATTGGACGAAACACTCCGTGGCCTCAATTGGAATGTTGACCCGGCCCCCACAAAAAGAACGGCTTTAAGATACAGATAGATACAGTACTTAGATGGGCCATGGAGTTAGTTGACTTGTTAAGTAAATAGCAAATGGATGTAAATAGATTATAGTTGGAATATAATATGATATAATGGTTTAGTAGCCCTGTTCCAAACCAGTTATCCAAAACTAGAACAACAACAAAACCTGTCAATGCCATATCAAATGCCAAAGAACATTGCTATATCGGTTATATCATATATCTAATTATTAAGAATGACATGAAACATATCCATAATATTCCATAATTATCCATATTACCCCAATCTTCATTCATCATCATTCATTGACATTGATCTGGAAAAATCCGCCATCTACAAATGATTTCCATGGTTTTCCTATGTTTTTCTAGCCAACCCCCAAGGAAAATCTCTGGTATTTTCCGTCAAGGCACCTCTCCTCCTGTTCGGGGTCATCGTGTGATGCCAGGTGCGGCATCTCGATGAGATTTAAACCTGGTGCTGGAGCTGACCATCCGACTTTATGTTTTTTTTGAGAAAAGATCCTGATATATCAGCTACACACACATATATATATATATATACGTATGTTATATAACTACATATATATATATATATTATGTATATAAACCATATTTTTTTATAACTATTAAGACTATATATATATATAACTATATATATATATGACAATATATATATATAACTATATATATATATACTAACTATATATATATAAGACTATATATATATATGTATGATATGTATGTGTACAGTTATTGTTTTTGCTTTTTTAAAGCATGACCAGAATGACCCATAGATGGAAGAATTCCTGGCTTTGACCATCAAAATCATGGAGGAACTCCTGACACTTAGAGGCTTGGCCAACGGGATTCAGATCCCAATCACATTCTGCTTGGGGATCTTGGGGTCCTAGCAGCCCCTTGCAGCATGCAGCCTGATTCACTTTTGCGGTTCAAGTTCAAGAGGGTGCTTTGGGAGGCAGCATTCTCCAAGCTTCGTGCCATGCCTGCAGCTAGCGCCGGGGTAAAAATATGGCGACTTTATGGCTATGAAACAAACATGAACAAAATAGAGACAAATCATGATTAATCAAATCGCAAATCGATCATTTGTAGACTATGTTGAGCTCTCAAACTTGCTTAGATCTTAGAATATCTTTGAATATACTCCATATTTCAAAAATTGCCACATTGGTTTTTTGGTTACTGGAGGATAGCGGATTTAATCAGCCCTGGATTGCCATGGTTCCCAGCTACAACCCCACATGCAGAGAAGTTATTGTAGGCCACATCCAGCAAATGATCCTTTGAACTGGCATTCGTTTGGCAAATCATGCTCCTTGTATCTCCCCAGCATTTTACCCCGGTCGAAAGGAACACCATCCATGGATGACATATGGCATACGGACCAGTATTTGCCGACATTCACCGCAAAATCGCTGAAATGTATTGTACCCTCTGATAATTTAAGATAATTCAAGATGGCTATGGAAAGTGGTCAATTCATCAAGAATACCTGAAGTATGGTGATGTTCATTGATTTTCCATAGATTTCCATAGGGCAAACAATCCAGGATAGGCCAGTCATGGCCAGTCCCCGGCGCCTTCTCGGATGCCCTTCATGCGTGCGAAGAAGTCAATGGTGTGACTGGCCACCAGGATCCAGATCAAAAGGCAAGACACCCACGGATTCCTTGGCGGAACCACGAATCAAGCATGGCTGGGGACCTGGGGATAGAAAAATCCTCAAACATGGAGGCTTTCATTGAATAATCATGAAGAATCCTTGAATCAAATCGAGTTGCGCTGCTTAGGTTCCTGGACATTTCTTTTGCATTCTTTTGCGCTGTTTGCGGGGAAACTGCACGGGAAACAATTCATTTTTAAGCCCGATATGAGGGAGCTACGCTCATTTTTCCCCACTCAAACCATGATCGCAGCAGGTGTCTTATTAATGGGACAAAAACAACAAACTCGGATTCTGCTGCAGGATTCACAGGGTGTGCATAGTTCCAGCTCATCTTCGTGTGCCACCAGAAGGTGTCGTATGACATGGACAAAGCCACCACCAATGAATTCACCAAAATACTGAAGAAAACACAAATATAGGGGTGGCAACCTCAGTTTGCGGACTGCGGACGTGGTGGTTTTCTGAAGTCGGTTCAGTTTGGCAAAAAGCCGGGTGTGATTTAAGACTTTCCGTGCTTTCATGGTCGCAGTGATGCCACAGGCTGCTACCTGTTCTTTTCATAGGATCTTTATGGATCTTTTATATAAAACAGCAACAGCTCGACTCAGCCCCAACCAAACCGAACCGGGATGAACAATAGCAATCCCTTCCCCCAACGAGCAAATGACACCACAAAGAAACACTGTGGAAGTGTGTTGGATCGTCTCATTCTGGGGTCCCATGCAATTACTGTAAGGGGAATATCATATGACCGAGGGGCTGACATGGCATATCTTGCACACCCTGCAAGAAATTGCAAGAATATTTACTGTATCTTGGACACTATCTTCTCCTATTTATAGCAAAAATTAATGAGCCACCCATCCAGTTGGCTTCCTACCACTGGGTTTGTCCAAAATAGGCTAACCATGGCTACTTCGTTCCATTCAGTTCTAAAACATCATCATTTTCAATAGCTGTCATAGCCTTGGGATGCTCCAAATTTTCCGAACCCTGAGAGCCTACCTGGCCTACCCGGGCGGGCCTGCTTGAATCATGATCTGCACAGCTGCCAGGCTCGAGAGGATGCTGGCCGAGCACATTTCGCGCACCAAGCTGTGGATCACGGCGAACAACTCCGTTTGTTGAAGGCTGGATCCGACCAGAATCACCTCTATCCTCCGAAAAAAACATGGGCACGGCTTGTGGCATGTTGAAGTTGAAAACAAAGAAAGCAGGGACCCACCATTCGGAACTTAAGGTTTGCTGAAAAGAAATCAAGAAATTGTTCCACCGCGGATAAAATGACTTTCTGATACCTTCTCCAGATAACAAACAACATTTCCATGGAACCCAGTTGGGGAAGATTAGATTGGGTGCTTTTGGATGGCAATGAAATCAAACTTAAGGGCTGGTAGACTATAGATGTTGATAGTGGGCCCGGGTTCGCATCTTCACAAGGTGCAATTGTGGGGAGTCTTTGGCGTCTTCGATCCGAGCCAGCAACAACATAAAGAACCACGGTTTCTTGTGCGTTTCCATTGGGGACCTAGATCTTTCAATATTCAGTTGGTGAGGATAAAGAGAGAAAACTATCTTTCTTGGACCTTTTGACAGTGACAAGACATCCTGTACTTAGTATTGTTGACCATTAGTTTGCCAACCAGACATGATTACAGTAAATAACATAGCTTTTCAAAAATTAACACTGCCATTGAAAATGACCCAGTTGTAGATGTTTCATGCAAATGAGGGATCATTCTGTCTTATGCAAATGATGATTGTCATCCTGACCGCTACCTCCAAATTCACTTTGGCAGGGCCATGGCAAGGCTCGTTAGGAGCGCTGGCGGCAAGCAGCAAAAGAGGCCGAAAATGATGTCCTAATCCGCGACGTGGAATCCCAGAGAATCCATGACTATCAACGCATCCCCAGGCTTCCAGACTTTGCTGGGCGCACTTCCAAATGGACACTATGGAAAAAAAAATGGAGCTTGACCACCTATAGGCAGAACAAAGGTTGCTATGTAGGCACTTAATGAGGATGTTTCCTTTAACAGCAAAACAAATGGAGGGCTTGTCCGGAAATCGGGTATACACCCCAAAGAACAACCTTTCATGAGAACATGATACAGTAAATCATTCATTTCTTCTCTCCCTCTTTGCCCTCCATCTCAATCATCTCCAAACCATTTGAGGCACCTTCTCGTTGGACAAACCCACAAATCCACATGACCCAAAAATCTGGTCCCAGAATCTGCTGCAAGGACTGAACATCTGGGACGCAGCAGGATTAGCAAAGAGAGCATGGAGAAGCACGGGGCCAAACAGGAGCACAGCGGCAAATGATTCCTGAGATCTGTCACACATAGAAGAATGACACATCATTGAAAATATCCTGACTGTCTCTATGGAAGGTTCATAACTGGTCATGGAATGACTCCTTTGTGGTCCCAGTTCCAGTGTAGCCAGCTATGATGGTTTCCCGAATCTATGCCGGCCACTAGTGCAACACCAAACTGCTGGTTTCCAGCCCCGAACATGTTCCTGTCCTTGGGGTTGAAATTCCCCATGTTCTTGACAACTGAAAGCACTGTAAGCTGCATGAAACCCTTCCATTCACAAAATTACCCTCCCACGACTTCAGGCAGATGCTCTGAAGAGATCTCTGCAATTGGCATCGGCCATTTGCGAAGGATTGTAAGCGTTCCCAGGCCCCAAAAAAATGCGAGCCAAGACATCACTAAGTATGCCTATATCTAATATTATCTAATGCCATGTAATGTCACTGTTGTGTAATGTCGTGTGATGACATGTAATGTCATCCCAATAAATACCGTATCTGATTCATCTCTTTTTTTTTGTGAAATCCCAAGTGAATTGTGGTTTCCATACCCCCATTGTATCCCTTTTGCACCCAGATGCTGCATGGCCAGCTGAATTCCGCGCACGGTGGTGCGCTGCTCAATCATCAGTTTACATACCTGAAGCCCGGCACGGGCACCAGGGTTGGCCGCGGCACGTCGGAAAAACATATCCAAAAATGGGGTCTCTCTACCAGACTCTACCACGTTTACAATGGAAACATATGCTAGTTGGTGGTTTCAGCCCCTCTGAAAAATATTAGTCAGTTGGGGTTTCTATTCCAAATATATGGAAAAAAATCCAAACCACCAACCAGTATGAAAAATGATCAACTATTCGATTTTGGGGTGCCCTGCTTTTAGACAAACCCGCATGATGGCTGTTGGTTTAGCATTCCTAAATAAACCCAACTTTGAAATTACAGTACTTCGTGCGATTTCACTGCAATTACAACATTCTGACCAAATTTCTGTCACGTGTGCATCCTGACATTTTTCGGACATAAATTCTGACACATGTTCGGACATCTATCCCGACATGTATGTTTAATTATGTTTACATTACTCCTGCCATTTTGTATCCATTTTGTCTGACACATCTTCTGGCATGTGGTCTGGCCAATTTCACATATTATGCCATATACTCGAACATAAGCTCTGTACATAATGACATGTGATCTGACGAGCCTCATGTGACATAGTACAATATATTAATGTACATTCTAACATGTGTTCGGATGTTTTTTCTAACATGTATTCTGGTCAATTTCATGCAACATGTGTTCTGACATATGTTCTGTCCTCAACCGGGTTGACATTTAGTCTGACATGCATTCTGACATATATTGTGACATTCGTCCTGAAGTATTCTCTGACATATCCTCTCACAATTTCAAACGCTTGGTAACTTGGTATCTAACGAGGT